CCAAATGGCGATTGGCTTTGTCAAGTCCGAGACCCTGGTCGTAAAACTCGAATAGTCCCTCCATGTGTTCAAGAATACCAGTACCATCTCGGATGACTTGCGGGAGACCATTACCAACGGATTCGATAAGACGGACATCAACGCGATCTCGATCGCTAACTCTCAGTTAGTTACCAGCCCGCAAAGGGGCACGAGGAATGGAGACATACTGTTCATAGATCTGTGCGATGTCGGCCGCAGTATCCGTCTGCCATGACTTTGGAACAAATGAATTTCTTCCAACTTGAACATTCTCGACCACATGACTCGCCCAGTTCAGTAGGTGCCGGTAGTGAGGCAGTGTGTTTTCTTTCTCTTCATCGGTGACAGTTTCAAGGAGTTTTCGCAAATAGTAGAAAGCGACCCTCTCACCCTTGATAGCATCTTCGAGCGCACGCTCTCGCGGTCCATCATCAAGAGCGACAATTGCGCCATTCGGTCTGTCTATGCAGTACTCAAGCTTCGAAAAGAGCACAGAATCTGCCTCCGGTCGCGCCGCAGTGAAGGGCATCAGCTCCAGCCTCTCAACTTGGATGAAGGTGTGAGCATTGTCTGGCGACAGGATGTTGATATCCATGAAGCTTCGTGTTCCTTTCATGGGGCGGGCGATGGCTTCCCACGGAAGCACCCTCTGCTGCTCTCTTACAGCAGGCGTATTAGGTACCGAGGCAAAGAAGGGGTTGATGGTGATGGACTCAATACCAGCAGGGATATATAGTCCCCACATCATGCCATCTCCAGGACAGCTAAAAGCCGCAGCAGATGACTGAAGAGCAGTGTCGAGCATTCCAGGGTGGATGAGCAGCTGATCCTCCCATGCGGATCCGGATTGGTCTTCGATCGTTCCATGTGCATGACCCTTCTTGCGCCCAATGGAGAGCATACCACGGAATGGAGGTGAATATTGATACTCGAGCCTTTCAAACTGAGAATAGAAACGATCTACTTCAATATCGGACATGTTGAAAAAGTCTGGCTTTGCAAAAGGAATAGTGTCGGGATCGGGTTGCGAGAGTGTTACAGTTACCATTCCCTCGGCGTTGACTTCCATGGGGGAATGCACCTCCTGCGGATCTCCAGAATAGCAACAAAATTTCGCCTGAATAATTGTTGAGTCGCGCGCGATAATATTGATACCGAATAAGGATTCGACAGACGACGTCTCATCGTCGAAAGAAATAGCTCTCCCAATGGACAGGTTGCTGATCTTGATGAGACTGATGGTCGATGCTTCCGGGGCAAGCAAGGCCATAGCCTCTAATGCCATTGCGACGAATCCTGCAGCAGGAAAGACAATCCCACCTTGGATTTTATGGCCTTTGAGCCACGGGATCTCTTTTGGGCTCAAGATGTTCCGCCATTGGATCTCATTGGATGTCTCTCGGTCCTTGCATCGTTTGCCGAGAATTGGGTGCGGAGGGTTGTGGTCAATAAGTTGAGCACCTGCGGCACGAGAGACTGTCCAAAACTTCTTAGAGTGGTCAAAGACGTATTTAGGAAGGTCTGTCACGATCTGACGCTCCGCGATGTCTCCGGACAGCTTCTTCTCAAAGCCATCAAACGAGACTGATCCGGCACCAAGGTTATACCAGACGAAGCCAAGGGCGGTAGAAAGCTGATGGATGTCATCTTGGCCCCTGGAGAGGACTCCAGAATAGGGAATACTCTCACCCTGAACCTCTGTCAATGTGTCAAGGGAGGGGCTCTTCAAGGCTGGATGGGGGCCGATTTCCAACCCCAGACTGAAAGGCCCAGAACTCGAAACTGCCGCTTTTACTGCAGATAAAAACATGACAGCACGTGTCATATTAGATACCCAGTATTGGGAGTCCAGAGTAGAGGTATCCATAACCTGGCCCGGCATAACACTGGAGTACCACACTGGTTTAGGCCCTTTAGAAGCCGCCCCTGCATTGTCATTTGTGGCAGCCTGAATTGCCTCCAGATATGGCTTCGAGCAGGGCATCATATGAGCGGAATGGTAGGCCGTGTCAACCTTGAGCAGCCGAGCAAACTTGCCTTCGTCTGTAAAAGTTTGGACGGCGTCCACGACGAGGTCCGCGTCCCCGGAGAGTGTGATGCTCGACTCGGAGTTGACTGCAGCGACTTGAATTCGGCCCTCGAACTCCGGGAGGTTACAAAACTCAGTGGCGTCTTCCAAAGAAGTGCCAGCAGCCATCATGGCTCCAGCGGCTCCTGTGGGCGACTCTGCAAGCTTGACATAGAATCCGCGAAGGTAGGCAATGCGAATGGCATTGCGCGCGGTGAGCAGGCCGGCTGCATAGGCAGCGGCAATTTCGCCTATAAATGTTAATTTACTTTTATCAGATAGTGCCTGTATTGTACCACGAACCAGATGAATGTCCGACCACAGCATCAAACTGAATGGCGGCGGCATTGAGCATGTCAACTAGCAAGATCTGCACAGCAGTGCAAAGTGGCTGCGAAACTGCAGCTTCTGAAATCCGGGAAGCATCACTCCCTGCCAGGAGCTGCTGTTTGAGGGTCCAGCCCGGACGTACTTGTTCGGGTAATGAGGAAAGCGCTGCGTCTAGCTCTTCCAGGCGGCCAGACGCGAAAGGCGAAGCCTCAACAAGCCTGGCACCCATGCGGGGCCACTGTGCGCCCTGACCGGTGAAGACACCTAATATCTTGGGTGTAGAGATGTTGAAATGCTTTTTGCCAAGGCCAGAAGTGTCCTCATCCTCCAGAAGTATGTCAATTATCTGCGCAGCCTCAACTGTGGTGGAGGCAGCAACGGCGGCCCGGAACGCAAGGGTGGACCGTTTTTCTTGTAAAGTGTAGGCAATATCGCGCAAAGAGCTGGTTTTGGTCTTCTTGAGATAGTCCGAGTAGGAAGCAAGCGTGTCACGAAGAGACTTTTGAGTCGCTGCCGAGAGGGTCAAGGGGGAGAAGAGCTGGCCAGCTGATGGGGCTGTTGGAGGCATCTCATAAGCCTCAACGATGGCGTGGGCATTCGTACCGCCAAAACCTGTCATGTAGGTATTAGTTACTATATCCCGTACTCTGTCCGTCTTTCGACGACCTGACTCACCGAAGCTGTTCACACTCGCTCGACGCACCCCGCCCGGGAGCAGCTCTGGCCATGGCAATGCCGACGTTGGGACATGGAGGTTTCCATAAAATGGGGCGATTCTTGGATTGAGCTCCTCGAAGTGCATATTCGGGGGAATCACACCGTGCTGCAGTGCAAGCGAAGTACTGATCAGGCTTGCCAGCCCGGCAGTGCCCTCCGTGTGGCCGATGACAGTCTTGATCGACCCGACGTAAAGTGTATCCGACGCATTGTTTGTGTAGAATGCTCTGCTTATCGCTTCGGCCTCTTGAGGATCGCCCGCAGGAGTTCCGGTTCCATGCGCATGGAAGAACTGAGGGCGGTCCTCGGGCTTTTCGATGTCTAGGCCAGCCCTGGCGTACGTGGTACGGATAAGCGCGGCTTGAGCGGCCGCACTAGGCATGGTCAAGCCCTGGCTTCTGCCATCTTGATTCACTCCCGTCTCGCGTATAACACACTCGATATGATCTCCGTCGCGAATCGCAGCGCTCAGCGGCTTGAGAATGATGGAAGCGACACCTTCACCACGCGCGTATCCGTCCACGTCCTTGTCCCACATCATCGATCGCCCAGTAGGAGAAAGCATATGGAGGTTTGCTTCGGCAATATACATTCCTATATAGCGCGAGTTGTTAGAATCTGCCAGTGCATAGTACGATTAAGGCTAACCTGGGCTTAGAAGCAGGTTGGAACCCGCAGCAATAGCCACAGCTGACTCTCCATTGCGCAAAGCTTGAATGGCGACGTGCACAGCAACCAGACTGGAGGAGCAAGCAGTATCGATAGTCATGGACGGACCATGCCAATCAAAGAAATACGACACGCGATTGGAGATGATGCTGCGGCTTGTACCAGTAGCACTGTATCGTGGGATGGTTTCGCAGTCTCTATACAGAATGCCACTCCAGTCATCACACATGGTTCCGACAATGACAGCGGTGGATGAGCCACGGAGCTGCTCAATGGTGTGGCCGGCCGAGCACAGTGAATCATAGACAGTTTCCATCAGCATTCTCTGCTGGGGATCAATGGCATCGCATTCCGACGGCTGTATGTTGAAGAAAGCATTGTCGAAGTCGGCGGGGTCTTCATCCAGAAAGTACGATGTCTGAACGTTGGCCGTTCCATGGTGTTCAGGATCCTCATGATAAAACGCGTCAGGGTGCCAGCGTCGATGATTCGATACCTTGGTTCGAAGGTCTTTCGGTTCCTTGAGAAGTTGCCACAGCTTGGATGGCGTGTCGGAGCTGCCTGGGAAGCGGCAGGCGCTTCCAATTACAGCAATAGGCTCTGGGACGGGCATTTTCGTTGGGGTCTCAATTCAGAAAATAACGATAGAAGTGAGGTAGTAAACAAGCGTCGCTGGAAATTTTCTATTAGCGACCATTTTCATAATTTCAACGAGCTTTCGTTGGTATATTTGACTTATTTCATGACCGCCAGTATTCACGACCGAAATATGCCGAACAGCTCCGGAAACCGGAACCTCTGATAGAGTGGCGAACCGCGACCGAAAAAGTCCGCAAGAATGAGGCACTAACAGTTTACTCTAGATCATCGGGACAAAGGCAAAATTGTATTATGCTGTGTATTTTACCGGCTAACCCTATTGTAGGTCTCATTGCGTTGTCAGTGCCCAACGAAGAAGCTCTTGCACCATTGATGATGTGAGATGAAAACTTCTTGATTAGATTTAAGTAACGCAAGTTGATAGCTAATTGCATCTTCTCGAGGATACAGTGCTAATAAGATAAAGTAAAATTAATATAATAAACCAGATAGAATTGCCTCTTTATCACGATTTCTGCCGCAGCGCAAGAGAGCACAATGGTACCTTGCTACCCTTGCCTGCTGGCTGACTTGTCTCCTCCTCTGTCTGGTCAATCTATAGACTGATGGGAAACTTTGTCCTGAGAGCCTCTCCATATTTGTAAAAGAAGAAGGGAATCGGGCAAAATGCCAGGGTGATAAAGGCCAACACGCTGTTGCCCCAGCCAAGGCCCAAACTCTTGTACATTGCAGGCCCTGCAAGGGGCAGCAAGGCACCAAACAAACTGCGGAGCACAGTATTGGCAGCCAGTGCTGACGCTGCGGCCTCGGTTCCGAATGCATCTACTAGATACAATTGCGCGGGCATGAGGGTCAAAAAGGCGCCGAGCCCAATCACAAGGGTACCCAGGATGGGGACGATCCAATGTGTGACCTGGTCTGCACTCCATCCGTACCAGAAGAAACCAATCGGGATGACAGGTGTAGACCACATCATGAGAATAAGTCGAAGCTCTGGTCGCTCCAGATTTCCCTCACGTGGCTGATGCAAGAGTTTGTCACTCAGGATGGCAAACAGAACAATACTGATAATCATGCCAATGCCGAGACCCAGGAAAGCGAGACCAGAAATTTCGGTAGCGAAGTGGTAAGTCAACTCGAAAACTCCAGGAAATGTAGTGAAAAGAAGGTAAATGAGGCCAAACAGGAAGGCTGTGTAGAGGGATAAAAGCAGGACGACAGGAGAAAGGAGAAGCATCCTGAGGGGTCGCATAGCAGCCCGCCCGAGGAGCTGAGTTGGTGTGCGTTTCATGTCCGTGGTTCTTGCGCGAAGTTCCATATTGCCAGTCGACTTTCGCAGTGATGCAGCTTTCCGTTCTAGAAGAGTAGGCTCGAATGTCTCCCTCATTAGGAGAAACGCCGTAAGGGTAACGATGCCAGCCTGGATCGCCTTGCTGTTAGATGTATGCTGCACGTAACGAGGAGACTTCGTATTGAACGTACCAGGATCAAAACTATCCAAAAGGTCCAGCGCCACCCCAAACGTTGAGTCACGAAGCCACCAATGACAGGACCAATGACTGGCCCGAGAAGCGGTCCGAGGGCGAAGAGGGCCATGGCCTTTCCACGCTCGCTCGCGATGTAGAGATCCGCAATGGTCCCTCCACCGACAACCATCGGAGCAGACGCAGCACAGCCGCAGATAAATCGGAATACGAGAAATGTGCCAGTGTTTTTGCTGAGAGCGCAGCCGATGGTAAAACCCAGGTAGAAAACATTAGAGATGTGGTAGATGATGAGACGGCCGTACAGCTCGGACATGGACGATAGGAGCAGAGGCCCAAAAACGTATCCAAGAATGTAGATGGACACAGTCAAGGCCGCAACAGTGCTGTTCGTGATGCCGAACTCTTTGACCAGTTGGGGGGCGCCTGGGGCAAACATGACGGCGGCGAGGTTGCTCAAGAGACAGTTAGTACGTCAAAGTCAATTACATTTCGTGGATGCAACTCACGAGTAGAGGGTGAAGATACTGATTATCAGAACATGCTTCTGCTTGTTGCCCTTGGTCCAGTTTCGTGGATGGGCCGGGTCATCGGGGCCGTTCCAGTCAACCACCTCAGTCTTGGCTGACTTAGTTTCTGCTACCGGGGTCGATTCGTTGGCTTCTGGATCCATCGTGTATGTTGAATAAGAAATGAAGAAGATTTCGTAATGGCTGGGTGTGCAAGGTTGCTCTAAAGAACGAAGGAGAGATGTACCAGTGTGGTAGACGTGCAGCCGATGGACGATCGATGGGCGATGAGGATTCCTGAACAGGGACGACGGGGAATAAACAGTGTTATAAAGAAGGAATATACGGAGGAGAAGCATACAAATGAAATGATTTCAGCAGGTTGTTGGCGCGGTGCTCCGCGCTGGTCCGCGGCGTTTTCACGAGATGAAACCGCATGGTACAATAGACAATGTCCGCTGACCCTCCGAGACAGTCGAAGTCAAAGGAAAAAAGATTGGGCGATTCACGGTCAGAAGCAGGAGCCCGAACCTATACGACAAAAAAAAGCAGACGGACAGAAACATATGATTATCCCACTTGATGTGCGAAAATGGGCAGCGAAGCCCATTTCACGTGTTTTGGAGACATTTTGTAGGAGCGAAAGTGTTTGGTGGATTTTTGGTTGGTTGGCAGCCAGGGCGACCCTCCGCGGAGGTTCGGAGGGTGCGCCCTTCCGCAGCCTCGCCGAGTCTCGAGGCTCAAACATGCATGCCAGTTGGCGACATTTCATCCAACTGCCATCATCGTCGGCAAAATGGACTCACCAGAGCAGGCGCGGGAGCATCCGCGCGGCCCTACAGACGCGTCGCCTTGCAAACCGCCAGCATCTTCTGCGCGCCGCCGAGACAAGACACAGCTCAGCTGCAACGCTTGTCGGAGACGCAAGTAAGCCAACAACCCGATTCCCACGAGTCTCATACCGCAATCCCAGGTCCTGTGCGCTTCTCCCTGTGAATTTCCGTTTTCTGCGCTCACGAAACGATGCCAACTTCGTATCGTGCGCTAACGCTCTCGCCCAAGAATACGCTGCGATCGCCTGTCACCATGTAGCAACTGTTCGATACGGGGTCTTGGATCCTCGTGTGCATACGCTCATACAATGCCATCGACGGTGTCCATTCCGCCGAATGATACGACCCCGGAACAGGCTCCTGCAAACATGCAGGACCGCATCAACAAGCTGGAAAATCTGGTCTTGGATTTGATGCACCAAGCTAGCCCAAGCTCCCGTATGTTGTTTATTACAGCGCCAAGATCCCGAATGCAAGCCACTAATGCTAGTCAGGCACATCACCGATGCCAGTTGCACAACATTCCCCCTCTGAGCAAGGCTGCCCGTCCGCTACGCACCTCTTGCGATTGGATACAGAATCGGAGACGGTGGCTGTGTCCGAATCGCGCCGTGATGTGTCGCCGTCACCTTCAGATTACGGAAGTTTCAGGCATAAAGAAAAAGTAGTCAGCTACGTCAGCAGCTCACACTGGGCCGCAGTACTCGACAGCATTACCGATCTTCGCAATCATCTTGCGCAGGAGGAGGATACCACGCTACAAGACGCGGAGTTGGCGCGGCCACAGACCGAAATCTTGAAGCCGCAGCTATTTTACAGCGGCGGACACTTGGATGGCACAATTACCTCCATCATCAGATGCTTACCACCTCGTCCTACTATAGACCGGCTTTTATCTCGTTATTTCAATGACCTTGATATTGCCCCTGGTAAGTATAGGTAAATCTTTGGATGAGATTTTATCCTTGATTAATTATCGTGTCACAGGTGTTGTCCACAGTGGTCAATTTCTCGCCGAGGTGGGTAACCATTAGAGTCCCAGCACAAGCTGTAGTTGCCGCTATTGCTGAACTCCCACGCCATTCGGGATAGAAAAACAGCCCTCTAACCAACGTTACAGTACGAGGAATTCTGGCAGGCTCCCGAAAGTGCACCAATCGCGTGGATTGGCCTCTTGTTCAGCATTATCTGCCTGTCGACGCATCTCCAGCAAGCATCCCAAACGCAGCCTCCAGTACTGCTGGTTCCATCCGAGTCGGGCCACCAAAGGAAAATTTCTCAGCTCGCAGAGAACAAGCGACTGATTGATCTATACAAATCCCAATCCATCAAGTGTCTCTTGCTTTGCCAATGGACAAAAGGCGGGCCATACGTACTAGAAACGTTGATTCTTTACTTCCTGGTGGAATGCTTCCACCTCAAGGACATGGAAATCGGGATATGGGTCTTGGTAGGCAATATTGTGCAGATTGCGATACACATGGGCTATCACCGAGATACGAAACATTTTCCATCCATCTCCCCTTTTGCGGGTGAAATGCGCCGACGGGTCTGGGCCATGATCCTGCAGCTTGACTCTAGTGTTTCGGCGCAGCTCGGCCTGCCCAGACTTATCAGAGAGCAGCATGCAGATACGGAAAAGCCAAGGAATTTGAACGATATGGATTTCGATATCAACACAACCAAATTGCCGGAATCAAGACCCGAAACCGACGTCACCCCAACTCTATACGTTCTGGCCAAGCTGCGACTACTTGATGTTGGAGCCAAAGTTGCCGACATGGCCACCGAACCCCGACCGCATTCCTATTCCGATATTTTAAAACTCGACCAAGAGATTTCGGAAGCCCGAGATGCCCTGCCGTCCATATTAAAATGGACCGGGCTCGCACTCAATGTTTCCTCCCAGATCACGATCCAGCGAATCTGGCTCGAAGTCATCTGCCAACAGCTGCGAATCGTCCTGAACAAAAAGTTTTTGGATCCTTCTCGCCCACAGCAACAATTTGGACACTCGAGGTCGGCCTGTTTATCGGCAGCGATGAAGATATTGGAGCTACAGCGGCTAGTTGACGAAGAAACCCAGACAGATGGTCTGCTCTATCAAAGTCGCTGGAGAGTATCGTCCGCCTTTAACAACGAATTCCTCCTGGCTACAAGTGTTTTGTGCTTCTATATGAAGACTTGCAATAAGCAGCAGAAGGGGGGTATGGATGTTGCTACAGAGACTGGGGATTCCGGCAACATCAAGGGAGCTTTGCAACAGGCGCAACAAATTTGGATTCGCCAATGCGCAGGTTCAAAAGAGGCTAGGAAAGCCGTAACAGCCTTGCACCATGTTCTAGGGCCTACAGACGCAAATATAGACCTACCATCGGACTACGAGACGCAGAGCATTTCGACACCCTCGTTTCTATCCGCTACAGCCATCTCGAATTTTCCAGGTAAATATTTTTGTCCCATCCTTTCGCGGCAGGGATATATCCAGTAGAATTTGGACTGACCACTGGAAAGAATTTAATTTTAGCAACGCGACTTCCGGCTCCGTTGACGGATTCAACTGGCAAGGATTACCAGCTGAGGGGGTCCAGAACCACGAAGACTGGGCCGGAGCAGGCGACATGGAGCAAATGGACTTTTCGTCTTGGTAACCTCCTGCAAGTCTCGGAGTTTTAAAGTACGGACTACAAATAATGCGAGAAATCAGTCTGCATATGCATGAGTAGCGCAGACGTTCGTCTCGTCTTTTGACCCATCATAGTGGAGGATTATATGCATGTATGAGATTCTACAGGTGGCTGACACCAGACGGAAAGAAGCATGTGGGAAAATTCGGGCATGTCGTACCAGTCATCCAGCTCCGACCACTCGGAGGTCTCACACCGAAAATCTCCGAATCTAGCACAGGACGATACTTGCAGTACCCAGGAGACCCGAAAGGCCACTCTCTTGTCTTTTAAAAAAAGAAAAAGTAATTTCACAAAATCTCAGATTCAACGTTGTTACGACGTTTGGCGTTCCCTGAACTGGATCAAATTCAACCCGAATCCGTCACTACTGCAAGATGTCAGCCCGCGTTTCAGTTTTTGACATTCTCGCTGATTCTGTGGTAACGGGTCCCGTTCCTGCTGCTCCATTCATATCCGGATCCGCAAATTTATTTCCAAAGATGACTGATTGCATTAACGACGAAGCATGGGAGCTGTGGGAGTTTGAAGCCTTTGGTGCCGCGGGCACGCCAGCGGTCGGTGTTTCCTTGTACCGGGACTCTCGCGGCCTGGAGCAGGGAGGATTCCACGCCGAGCTCAACGCTATATGGGAGGACGGCAGCAAATGGGGCGAGACTCTTCACTTTCCGCTGTCGGTGGTGACGGCAGATGGTGATGCCGCTGGGGAAGGGCGCGTGACAGGTACATGGGCTTGGAAAGGCACGGGCGAGGGGAAGGAAGCCGAAGGAAGTATCACCTTCACCATCGACTCTCACCTGTCATCCGCAGAGCTTCGATTCAACGTCCCGGGGAAAGTCTCCGGTGAGATGCAGCTTCAGCGCCTGCCAGGATCGAACAGTCCCAACCAGGCGAACCTGGCCACCTCGGAGCACTGCGCGTCACTCTACCCATCCGTATACTACCTTTTCCCTATGGGGCCCGTCCAAGCTACGGCGAGTCTTACTTTTCCTCGATTCGATAGATCTGACGATGAGCAGAAGCTCTCGATTGGCTTCGATCAATATGGTCCGGGCCGCGGAGGAATGGTGCGCGGGTGGTCTGCTCTGAGCTGGCCGCTGTTCATGAACGACGCGTACTACACCGTCGCACATGTCGGGCCCTATACGCTACAACTTCTACGCGTACTTGGATCTGCCGCTGCGAAGCATCTGCCCTACGCCGTTGCCCGGCTGCACCACGGCGATGAGCTGGTGTGCGCGGCCAACGACGCCGTTGACGACAGCTCGCAGCAGGGAGCGCAGGACCACGATACAGTGCGCGTAGACAAGATCTTTCTAAGAGACGGCCAAGACCAGAGTGGTAGCATCTTTGGCGCCTTTCGCGACAAAAATATCGGATACGTCATTGAATTCAAGTCACCCCGGCGACAGCAGCGATGGGTATTTGAAGCACGTCACAGGCTGCCGCTGTGGAGCGAGCCGACGAGTGCTCCCGGCCCGGATGCCTGCGGCAAGTCCGGATGGGTGGAAGTGGTCTCGGGGGGATTGGAGAATGAAACATTTCAAGGGTCCGGAGTGAGCGGCCAGCTGCAAATTCCTGTACCTTGATGTGGTCGCGGTTAAGCAGTCTCCATGTTATCCTAATGTGTAGGCAAAGAGCTAGTTCGGTCATGGCGTCATTTTTTACCATGAAGCTCGCCAAATCTTCAGTATTCTTTCAGAAAAAAATATCTTCATCACTCCGTCAAGCTTGTAGCAAGGTTGAGCGTATGTCGACCATCGGACTTTTTCGGCGCCCTTCGGCGCCACACATGCACTCGCACCTAAATCCTGGCGGGATAGTATTTGGTTACAAATATGAAAATCTACGCTTTTTATCTTCTTTTTCATTCTAATTTTACTGCCATATCATATCTCTACTCAACTCTGCATTGCTCAACATCGACTTGGCCCCAGCCCGCCCTCGACTTACACCAGAAGCACTGAGCAACGTTTGTCCTCCGCTGCGTGCGTGCACCGCTACAGCCATGGGCTCCGATACTCGCGGCGAGACTCAGACTGCCATTGTTGGCGACGACCATGGCGGTGTCAGACTTTCTCGTACGGCACCCGTTCCCAAGGTCACGGGCGATGTGGTTCTTGTGCGCACCGCCGCTGTGTCCGTGAACCCAGTCGATGCTAAAATGCGAGACGCCTATGTGACGCCGGGAGCAATCTCGGGATGCGATTTTGCCGGCGTCGTGGAAGAGATTGGGCCCGATGCCTCCCAGTGCCACGTCAACGTTGGCGATCGTGTCTGCGCTGCCATTATGGGCATGAATCCTCTCGAGCCGACGCACGGCGCCTTTGCTGAATTTGTCGGAGCGCACGTCTCTGCTCTGTTCAAGATACCAGACTCTATCAGCTTCGAGGCTGCGTCGGCCATGTGCACCTGTTTCATGACGTGCGGCCTCGCTCTGTTCAAAAGTCTGCAGATACCTGGCGGGCCATTGTCGCCTGTCGCGAAGCCGATTCCCGTCATGGTGTATGGTGGCGCCACCGCATCCGGCACTGCCGCGATCCAGTTACTGCGCTTGTCCGGCTACCTGCCGGTTGTTACGTGCTCAACGCGCAGCTTTGATCTCGTCAAGTCGTACGGTGCTGAAGCGGCCTTTGACTACCACGACCCTGCCTGCGCCTCCCAGATCCGACAGTATACAAACAACGGACTTTGCTTCGCCTTGGACTGCATAACAAACACGCAGAGCATCAAGATTTGCTACGGGGCAATTCGCAGATCTGGTGGCAGATACACTTCCCTTGATCCGTTCCCTGCGACAATTGCCGCGACTCGGAAGATGGTCAAGGCGGACTGGGTAATCGGTCCAACTATGCTTGGTCGCGATATTGGGTGGCCAGAGCCACACCGCCGCAAGGCCGATCCCGAGTTGTTCGAATTCGGACAGCAGTGGAAAGATACTGTGCAGCAGTTGCTCGACAGAGGCTTGATTCGGGCCCATCCATTGACGGTGTATTCCGGAGGGCTCGACAAGATTCTTGACTGCATGGAAGCTATCGCGTCAAAGAAGGTGTCGGGTACCAAGTTAGTATGCACCCTGGAAAATGATGAGTAGAAATAGCCAGTACGTTGGACAGAAAACTCGAGCTAAAGATATAAATTCCTAAATACACCTGCTACACTATGCAAGAGTGAGCTCAAGAACCGCATATTCCGACTTGCCATCCTCATAGACGGCACTGATCCGGAGTCCAGCCATGGCGGCCAATTCACGCCACATGCCTTCACTGCGCCTCTTGCCTCCAAAATTCAAGACTGCAATGTCCTGCGCAATAGCAAACTTGCCGCGACCGGGCTTGACAAGTTCTTCAACAAGGATGATCCGCGAGTCGGGCGCACCCGCGGCCCGCGCCCGTCCAAGCGCCAGAACAATATCCTTGTCGACAAAATCGCTGAGCACGCGGCGGAACAGGTACACCAGTGCCCCTTGCACCTCGGTTGGGAACGCATCGAGCATCGTGCCGGGAAGGAAGCGGACAGCAGCAAGGACATCGCTGGACGCCGCTCTGGCCGTGGCCACCTCGATTGTCTTGGGCAGGTCGAGCACGGTACACTGCGATGGAGGCACAAACGCATGCTCCGCCATGATCTCCTGCAGGGCAAGTCCGTGGCCGCCGCCGACGTCCACAATGGCAGGTCGCGCCGGACGGGCCACCAGCATCTCCTCCATCCAGCCAAAGTCGTACACCCCCTTCATCGAGTAGATGCCGGCCGAACGCTCCTGGGCCCTGTTGAACAGCTGCGCCATCTTGGGCTCCGCGTCCAGGACGCCGTACAGATCGAGCGTCGCGTGGCCTGTGCCGAAGCCGAGCGGAATCGACCGGGCATCGCCGGGCTCCGCCAGGCCGTGTGCCTCGAAATAGGCAGACCACGCAGCCATGGGTCGCAAGAAGAACTGGTAGACGTGGGTGATGAAGTTGGCGGCCAGTTCGGTGCTTCGGTAGGACGCCGAGCGGGCCGTATGTGCGAGGGTATCGGCGGACGGGGCCGCCAGCACCTCGGAGGCAACCAGGTAGTCGGCGAAGCGCCGGATCAGCTGCTCCTGGCCACCGGTCTTGGCGGCAAGATCAGCGATGGAGATTGCGCCGTCCACGGGGATGTTGTCAAAGATTTTGAAGTCTATGAAGACCTTGAGGATGCCGAATTCGACGAGGTTCATGTAGTGCGCACTGGCAGACTCGAGAGCCTGTCGAATGCTGGTCGCGCCGTTATCCTGGCCTGTCATTGTTTCGGATTCGATTGCTAAAGTAACTGAGAAGATTGAGGGTTATGCACGAAAATGAAGGATTCAAGACACGCCAATGAGCTAATAAAATACACAACGGGAGGGCTGTGCATGGCATCTTGACTCTCGTGCTTCGGGCGTCCGCTCGGATGATGCCAGCCTTGCGCGCCATTGAACGTATGTTATTCGGTGTTGTCTGCACGAGCCAACCGGCCCTCCGCGGCCATGGCAGTTTGAAAAAAACGAGGCAGACGCCCATTCTTTCTTTCTCGGCTGCCACATGATCCTCCGACGTAACGTTTTTACCAAGCGCGGAATGGTGGTACCCTCCCTCCCCCGCGGCCGGCCGGTATCTTCTTCCGGCCGATGCTCCGCGGACTTGTCAGCCGGAAGGATCTAAAAGTCTCCGCGATCTACCAAACGACTCCGAATCACTATCAGCGCATCTACAGTTAAAAACGCCCCAGTCCATCAGCTTTCGGCACTCTCATCCGCCAAAGTAGGATGCAAGGTGGCGCTCTCAGCTATGCACTGCCAAAAGGCGCAATCCTGAAACAGGCTGGCACATGGCCTGGACTCTCCTGTCAAATGCACTCCCTTACTCACTACCAGAAGGAATGCGTCTAGCCAATATTCATGCAGACGCGCCCACTTTGGCCAAGGAGAGTTACGCATCGGGAAGCTTCCGCACAACAGACGGAACGCCACATCTGCTGAAAAGGTAATACGCGCCTAGGCAGCTACCAATTGCGCAAATACCGCAGAGCCTTCTAGCCGTGTAAAAGACTATCTGGCTTCGTTGGCCGTTTATCCCAGCCTTGGGCTGCTTATACATCTCTGACCAATGTCTCGGATGGCTAGTTCTGTACTCGGAGTCCAAATTACAAAAGAATAGAAGAATAGTCGAGCTGCTTTATTTGTCCAATTTCCACTGTTGTATTACAGTTGCTTCTCAAGTGCAGCCGTTCGGCACATCAGTATCCATAAGTTTGCGGCAAATTTGTACTGTATTGTTGCATCGCATCGCGTTGTATTTCCGCGATTCTACCTGTCCACGGATCATCCGCTGCAGCTGTCCAAGGGAGACAATGAAGCGCCATACCGAACCCAACACCTCCGCGGATAATACATACCCGCGATCGATCAGCACGACCGAACCGAGGCCAACAATGCATACTGCCAGTCCTGAAAGCCCACAGCTTTCTATGCGAGGGGCATGCGACCGTTGCCGGATGCTGAAACTCAAGTGCTGCACTATCGGTGTGTCTGAATGCTGTGTTCGCTGCACAAAGGCTCGGATCACATGCGTGTTTGGACGCCGGGCGCGTGCCAAGCGTCGCAGGAACTCCGAGTACGCCTCAAGCGCGGACACGGCCTCCCAGGTAGAAGACAACGATGCCGCCATCCGACCAAGCCCAGGCGCGCATAGTATCCGGTCACCCGAATCCGGTTCGCCAAGAGCATTGGGACCATTCACACCGCTGAGCATGTTTTCTTGTCCAATGGTTCCAACCGACGTGTTGTATCCTTTGCGCAGCGCAGATGGCCTTGATGCAGAAGCCGATCTGGTGCTAGGATCGGATGCCCTGTTCTTTGACCACGAAAGCTACGATCCGGCAATGATGTGGAGCAAACCTGATGCAGACAATGCTGTTAGTGTAGAGACGACAGATGATGCATACACTGGTATGCATTCTTCCGTCCCGGCTACGCACAACCAAACTGTCGCTGGGTCCTCCGCCGCAGATGTTCCCGCCTCGGAACGGATCCGGGCCGAAGAGCCAAGAATGAGTGACTTCACCCAGGCTGGCTCAGCTCAGCAATGGGCTGTGGCCAAAATCATCGAAACACAGCTGAACAGCTTCGGTTCTGACAATGATGAACTATTGGGGCTGGTGACCAAGATACAACAGCAGCTTTCACGGCTCGAAAATGGGCCCTGGCGAAAGGACGGCACAAAAAGCCTCAACGACTACCCCGTCGGAGGTATCATCCAGCTGGCAAGGAAACTTGGTGAAGTGGCAGAAGGAATATTTGGCCACCGTGAACGAACAATCACTGACAGTGTCGACCACGGGTCCAACACAGCCTCCGTTGACAGCGCCCAGGCAGACACACCATCAGTTCTCCTCTTGCTCTGCGGCTACACCTGGTTGCTGCGCCTTTATAACGTTGTCTTGGACCATTTCCAGAGCCACGTTGACCACATTCCGATCCATCACAGTCAGTCCGCGGAAGTGGCCACTGCCTGGAACCCGCACAGTATTGTGTCACCTCCTTTCGATCCCGAACTCACATTAGGCGAGTTTCCCTGCGTCACCTCTATTCTAGAGATGCATCGCATATATGCAGCGATTCGCACACTATGTGACGCCTTGAGATCGGTCGAGTGTCGACTTGGTAGCGGAGGAATTGAGCTTCGTGAGACGGCCATGGCGACGCTGCAGAACTGGGACTACAAGTACAGCAGAAATTTAAAGAGTATCGAAAAAAGAATAAATACGGTAAAACAGCAGCTAAGAGATAGGATAGGGTTCTAAAAAAAAACAGAAGAAAAAAGAAGAAAAAAGGGGAGGCAGTTGGTAGAGTTCGATTCCAGAATAGAGCTGTGGTCGGGAATTATAGCTGAGTTCCTTGGGAATAAAGAGACATAGTCTCATTTCATTAGCCAGTGTGATCATTACAGGGCAGGGCTAATTCACAAATTTAACAAATGATGTTGTATAACTAATCAGGTCATGTAGGAGTCACAGCAGCTCAGGCCCGCAACGACCAACCAGGCTGACACCTGAAGCCTCACATACCTTTTTTGCTCCGCTGTTCCCAATCAATGAGCCCGAGTTCTTTTCTTTCTATTATTAGCCAAATAAACCCCAACATCAGGGAAAATGCCGCCGAAAGAGACACCATCTCCTAGCTCGCCACTTTACGTAGTGGAGCCCAGCGCAACGCACACTCATACCGTGATCCTTCTTCACGGACTCGGCTCGACAGGAGAGCGTTTCGGCCGGGAATTTCTAGAGACGGCCATTTCGTCATCCGGACGCACACTTCCCGCGCTGCTTCCCCATGCTCGCTTCGTCTTCCCCACGTCGAGGCGGCGGCGCTCCACCGCCTTTGGCCGCTCCCTGCTCACGCAGTGGTTCAATCTCACCCGCACCGAGGACCCCTCGTACCTGGCGGACCGCCAGCTACAGGGCCTTGCCGAGTCAGCCTCGGAGATCCTGGCCGTCATCGGGGACGAGCTCGGCCGGGTGCCTGCCCGCAACCTCCTCCTGGGCGGCCTGAGCCAGGGGTGCGCCATGGCGCTGGCGGTCCTGCTCTGCCTGGACCACCCCATTGGCGGGTTCATCGGCATGAGTGGCTTCTTCACTTTTGAGGCCGGCATCAAGATGGTGCTTGTCGAGGAGGACTTGGATGAGCTGGACCCCTTCTCCGACGCTGGCGAGAACAGGACGGCCCGAGAAATGCCTGTCCGCGCTCAAGAGTATGAGAGGGAGCTACTGAGCTTGGATCCTCTTGATAATTTGTCGTCGGAACGGACAGCTCATCGCACGCCAGTGCTTTTGGGTCATGGGGCCGAGGATGAAAAAGTCCCCGTACACTTGGGTGAGGCTGCAGCGGGAGTCATGCGTGCGGCGGGTTACGATGTTGAATGGAAGATCTACAAAAACCAGGGCCACTGGTACAAGATTCCTGATCAGATCGATGATATTGTCAGTTTTATTTCGCGTTTAGGTTGGAAGGTGGAAGTGGATGGCAGCCGCGTTTGAGGCGTCTGTCGCCTGATCCCCATCAGATTATGCAATTTTTGGAGATTATACACGTTTACTCTAATTCTCTTGATAAATACACAGTTCCTTCATACGGACTGTTGTTATATGCCTCTGCCACGAGAAACCCCTCCGACTTGTACAGTTTAATAGCTGCTTCCATCCTGTCCAGGGTATCCAGAAATATTTCCTTGTATCCCTGGTCCCTTGCCCGTCGCAGCAGCTCGAGAAGCAACTTGCGCGCAACTTGCCTCCCACGAGCTTCGGGATTCACAAACAACCTCTTCATCTCACTGCATCGATGCCCCGGTTTGGCTTTCTCGTGGGTTGCGGGAAGCTCTAGCGGGCGCAAAGCGACGCAGCCCAGAGCGGCCCCGGACTCGGAGTCGACAGCTAGTAGAAGAGATCCTGTAGGCGGTGCGTATTTTCCCGGCAGGCCAGCCAGCTCCGAGGCATAGTTTTGATGCGAAAGGTCTTCGTCGAGCCATTCCGTGTAGGCCTGGAAGCATCTGATGACGGCGGCAAGGTCCTCGGGCGACTCGGCTTGGCGAATCAGGATAGTGGGGGAGGCTGTCATTTTAGATTCCCTGACTTTCCCTAGGTAGCTGATGGGGGGAAGTCAGTGAAGGCGTGGTGATGTTCGCTGCAAAGTCTGCAAAGATGACTCTTGAGATTTGAGGTGGATGCTATTGCCGGGCAGGAAGGAGGAAATTGGGCACTAGCTTACCAACGAGGCCAATCTATACTTTCAGGTCAGTAATAAAATTCAAGGTGACTATTCGAATTACCCATTTTTTTCTGTTTCTTGACATCTTTGCCTGATCCGAAAGCTATCCTGAGCCAGCGGGGGCGGGAACGAAGCGTCCAGCCCCACCATTACATCAGACTAGCGTGGTGCCTCTGGACAACTCTCAGAATCTCGAGTTGTCCAGAGTCATCCCTCTCACAACCAAACAACGTAACAATAACATCTCTAAAACACGGCGAACGGCTACCGAGCGACATCTGAGCCAGAAAACAAAATCTCGCCTGCCTGAGAACATCGGAACACGCGCAAACGGCGACATGGCCGACGCCGAGACCGATATTGGCCAGCTGTCCCCAACACAGCAAGAAGCACTCGAACAATATCTAGCCGTGACGAACCAAGAGGTCAAGGACGCGATCCCGCTGCTGCAACGGTCACAATGGAACGTACAGGTAATTACTACAGTGATGGGCTACATCTGGTTCCATTCGCTGACGGTAAAATTAGATTGCGATTGCCAAATTCTTTGATGGCGAAGGACCCGATCCCCTAGCCGAGGCCATCGCGGCCAGCCAAGCCATCCCACAGGTCGCCGCGCGACACGAGAACCTGCAACAAAGTCTGCTCGCGTCCGAATTCAGCTCACGCGCCGCACCGCGTCGGGACCGGACGGACCCGGCGCCGCGCATCGTCCCGCCATCGTCGACGACCCACGGCACGCCGTGGCTTCTGGGCTTACTGCTGACGCCGCTGAACTGGGGCTGGCAGGCGGCCACAGCCCTGCTGCGCACGCTCCTGTACGCCGTGTCCTTCTTACCCGCGGCGATCCGGCCGACGCTGCTGACAGGCCGGCTCTCGACGGCGCTACAAGGCGGCGGCACAAGCGGTGGCGGGCGGCGGATGCTGATGCCGCGCGATGCCGCGGCACGGTTCAAGCGCGAGTTTGACGAGGATCACGGCGACAACAACCTGCCCTTCTTCGAGGGCGGCCTGGCGCAGGCGCACGACCTGGCCAAGAAGGAGCTCAAGTTTCTACTCGTGGTGCTGCTCTCGCCCGAGCACGACGACACGGCCTCGTTTGTGCGCGAGACACTACTAGCGCCCGACGTGGTCGCGTTCATCAATGACCCGGCCAGCAATGTGGTGCTCTGGGGCGGCAACGTGCTGGACTCGGAAGCGTTCCAGGTGGCGCGCGAGTACAAGTGCACCAAGTACCCGTTCTCGGCGCTCGTCTGCCTGACCCCCAAGGAAGGCAGCACACGGATGGGCATTGTCAAGCGGCTGGCTGGGCCCATGCCAGCGGCGACGTACCTGTCTGAGCTACAGGGGGCCATGGAAAAGTACGGCGCTGACATGGCGGGCGTGCGGGCAGAGCGCAGCGCGCAGCAGTTTGCGCGGAGCCTGCGAGACCAGCAGGACTCGGCATACGAGCAGTCCCTAGCGACTGACCGGGAGCGCGCGCGCAAGAGGAAGGAGGCCGCGGCGGCCGCGGCGGCAGCCGAGAAGCGCGCCCTCGAGGCGGCGGATGCGGCCGCCCTTCGCGCGGAAAAGGGTGCGCAGTGGAAGGCCTGGCGCGCGACGCAGATTCGACCGGAGCCTCCGGTGGGTGATAAGGATGTGGTGCGCGTGGCGCTCAAGATGCCTGAGGCGTCAGGCGCGGGCCGCATCACGAGGCGATTCGCACAGGACACGCCGATAGAGGAGCTCTACGCATTTGTAGAGTGCTACGAGGTGATGGACGGCGCGAGCAAGACGGAGAAGCCGGCAGACTACGAACACAAGTACAAGTTTCGGGTGGCGTCGACGCTGCCACGAGTTGTCTACGAGCCCAGCGTGTCGGAGACGATGGGGGCGGTGATTGGACGATCTGGCAACTTGATTGTAGAGATGATGGAGGATGGCGTAGAGGAGGATTAATTTCAATGAGCCAAGAAAGTGTATTACTAATACGGAATGGTGTGTACAGAATATCATAGAATGGCATGCAGTTGGATTGAGAGCAGAGCTGTCTCTGTTTGGAAGTGATGCATGTGAGCTGTGGTTCGAGGGTGGGGTCGCCAAAGGCAAGCCTCGATATGGTGCCGCGCATCGTAAGATGTAATCGGGCAAAGCATGAGTAACTAGTTTCGGTAATATATTGTATATTGTTAGGATTGATCGGACCCTTGGCTGGCTGACGAGCGGGCACGGGACATGGTCTCTGGACCTGGGACGTGTGATGGACTTGCACAGCCCCAGAGCTCTACGCAAGCCAGCCGCAGGTGGCGATGCTTAGTGTCTTGGAAGCTGGTGGGTGGTGTGTGCGGACATGAGTCGGTCTTTTTGCATTGTAGAACTTGGCTTCTTGTTTCCCTGGTCTGGAAGAGGTAGAGACGAGGAAGAGAATCAAATAAAAAAAATCCGTTCATTGATAGAGAGATGTTGGAGGAAGCTCGCCGCCTGGCTTGTTGGTCGGCGGACCAAGAACATCGGGAGCTGCCGAATGGGGCGAAGCGCTAAAATGGGTCAACTGTCCCTTTGTTCGCACCACTATGAGACTGGCCGCGCGGCTGCGGAGCGGAGAGAAGCTCCTGTGACTTTTTTTTGCTTAATTTCAAGGAACTTGACTAGCATCGTCATTGCTGATGGGAATGCCCACGATGCATGGTAAAGCCGTTGGTTGTTTAGTTGCAAGGTACAAATGGCTGGAGGTACCCCGGTTGGGCATCTCCGCGCGCGCAACCTCTACGTGCATAGGCAACGACAAAGAGGAACACAATTTCAGGATAAATTCCTGCAAGTTCATACCCAATATATGTCTCGTACGGGCGAAGAAAAAAACAAGTGTTCTATCTGCAGGCGGGTTGAAAACAGTGTGCCTATTGGTGCCGTGACACCACTTACAGGCCCTGGACCCGCTACGCTACAGGGCGAAGCCTCTGAGTGGCCATTTGTTTCTGCTGGCTCTAGGCTGACGTTGCCTGTCAGTGGCGGCCTTTTCTTGTTCTATTAACCTAGGTAGTTACCTAGTAGTTACCGTGGGGTTGTACCGAGTTCTAGTCCCCTTCTGGCCCTGTACTCCGTACAACAACTCCATGACCGCCACGACGCCGTTTGTCAACATCTCCATGCCTAGTACTTCTTCCCCTCCCTAGTCTTCTTTCCTCTGCTACCCTCTCTGCTTTTTTATCCCATCGCGATACTGCGGTCTGGTGCTCTCTCATATGTTGACGTCGTATCAGCTGTTCTTTGTTTCCCAACGCTAGCGTCGTCGCTTTGCCGCCCCTTTGTCGCAACCGCCCACCCTTGGCCCGCATCACCAGCAAAGTCTGTCGCTTCGGGGATTTACGACCGTTTCTCCTGCAGCCTGCCGAAAACCAGACCACGCCGCGTTACCGAGAACGAACCCAAGCCGTCGCCATGAAGTCGATGAAGAGCCTCAGCATGAACAAGATGCTTGGCGGCATCAAGAGGAAGAGCACACGTACGGCTCCCCCGCCGAACCCATCGTTAGGCGGTCGCAAGCAACGCTGACACGATTCCATTCACAGTAGCAGCGCCAACGGGCTCGACATCTTCCACCGTGCCGCAAGAAGGCGAGGCGCCTGAGAAGACGGCTCACAATAGCGTCGTATGTTCCCCGCGCTCGGCTCCGAGAATCACCCCCGGTCGCTAATGTCGTCACCCTGCAGAAAGCCTTTTGCGAGTCGGGATACAATGTGCAAGTACGTCGCCGCCGCACGCACCAACCCGTCCTCTATGCAATCACCCGTCACCCTCGCTAACATGTACCCTTTCCTCCCACCAGGGCGACGAAGTCCTCTTCCTCCCACCCATTGTCGACGCCGCCGAGTCCTCCCCCGCCGCCGCCACTGAGTGCGCCCGCCTAATCCGCAAGTTCCTGTCCAAGGATTACTTTTCCCGCGCCGCCTGGCAGTACAACGCCATCATGCTGCTCCGCATCCTCACCGAGAACCCCGGCCAAACCTTCACCCGCAACCTCGACGCCAAGTTTGTCGACACCTGCAAGGCACTCTTGCGCGGCTCGAAAGACCTGAATGTCCGCCAGATGCTCATCGAGACCCTCGACGACTTTCAGCAGACCAAGGCCTACGACGACAACCTCTCCGCCCTGCTGCAAATGTGGGCGAAAGAGCGCAGCAAGATGGAAGCCGTATACGGAGTATGCCCTCCCTCTTGCGGTGTTGCTCTACTTTGCCTCGTACTAATCTCTGTCCCAGAACGCCCCGAGAATGGCGCCGCGTCCCTTCTCCACGAATCCGCAGCAGCAGCAGCAGCAGTATCAGCAGCCCCCCAACCATTCCAACGGCCAAAACTACTTTTCCCGCCACCACACGAACAACAAGCTGCCCGGCAGCGTCGAGCTCGCCAGCCGCCTGGAAGAGGCCCGCAGCTCGGCCAAGCTCCTCGAGCAGGTCGTTATGAACACCCCCCCGGTGGAAACACTGGACAACGACCTCATCAAGGAGTTTGCGGACCGCTGCCTGAGCGCCTCGCGCAGCATCCAGGGTTACATGGTCGCCACCAACCCCGGCCCTGACAACGAGACCATGGAGAGCCTCATCGACACCAACGAGCAGCTCCAGACGGCGCTCAGTCAACATCAGCGCGCCGTCCTCGGTGCTCGCAAGCAGCTCGGCCTCAATCTGCGCTCTGAGGAGACGTCCCCCGTCGACGGTGGCCACCCTAGTGGCGAGCCCGTGTCCCCCCTGCTCGACTCCCCCGCCCTGCCCGCTCACAGCGGCAACGGCAAGGGCAAGCAGGCGGACCCGTACCACGCCGAGCCGTCAAGCTCCGGCCCCGCTCTCGGCCTTGGTCTGGCTTCCGGCTCCGGGTCCGGGTCATCCTCCAACAAGGGCAAGCAGGCCCGAGGGAATGACGACGAAGATCCTTTTGCGGATCCCTTTGCCGACCCGCAACACCACTACGACACCCCCAACGGCGGCGCGTCCCGCTCACGAACGCCCGCTGCCCATGAGGAGCTGCCGCAAGAGCCTTTCCATCCCGGATTCACTCCCGCGACTATCGCGCCGCCGGGCCATCCCGCGCTCACTGTTCCTGGCTTTGGCGCGACAGCGACCAAGGACTCGTCAGTGGAGGATCTGTACGAGGCCGCTGCTGCCTCCGGCAAGGCCAAACCTGCTGCGTGAAACCAGCAGATGCTCATCCCATGTGCGGATATGTCAAACGAAAACGTGTAGCCTTCATAGCGTGCAGTGCGACTCGAGTGCCAGACCAGTCCTTGAACTGCATATTTTGGCCTGTTTGAACGAGTTTCTGTGTCTTTTATTGCTCACCTACCCTGTCGTCATCACCCTCCCTGTTCATAACGTCGTCCCTCCCACTGTTTAGAAACAAGAACGGCTCTTCTTCCCTGTCATGTTTCTGTCTGATACCATCAATACTTTTTCTCATTACCGCTATTTTCCTGTAAATAGGCAACAACGGTGTGAAGCCCTAGATTCAACTAGAGTACTCTACGCTTTCCGTCTACAAACATGCTCCTCCGTTTTCTTTCTTCGGCTGACGGTGCATGCTACGTCGGGCATGTCGGGCACCACGATGAACAAGAAACTGACGCAGAGCCGCAAGTAGACCAAGTAACTCTCTAGCGAGACGCCATACCCCCCCTGCGCGGAAGATCATCGAGGACTACCTGCACAGTAGGCAGCTAGTGGACTTTGTCGACCTTGGCAGCCTGCAGTTCACCGAGGCGTATGCGCAGAAAGGCGACGGGCAACAGTTTACGCAGCAGGGCGCGTCGATTCAGAATGTGCACATCGATGGCCAGGGTAAGGCGGACTGCTCCTCGAACAGCAGCAGTGTGTCGTGCAGCTACGTGAGCCTATAATAGATGGATTGTATCTACATCTCGGCTTATTGCACCTCTTTCAAAGTCAGCTTCCTCCTTTTCTTGGGTTACTTGTTGGACTCTGCTCGACAGCAAATGCTACGAATTGTTGTTGATGTCTGCTACCCTACACCTGAAGTTGAATGACGACACCAAGGACAGCGTTACGTACGTGATCCGTGGAAGTCATTATAAGCAAGGATGAAGCTTTGGGGTAGTAACAGAGATTCAAGCAGACGAATGGAAGGACCATTTTCAAGGCCAGGACCTTATAAGGAGCACGCCGACCAACAATAGGGGCCCCTGGCACAGTTGGCCTCTTGCTGGGCCAATCTGCAACTCTTCTGGTCGATGCAACCGATATACACATACACCCTCGGCTTCCCATGGTGCCCCGGTCCGCAACCTGACATCTCTCCGATCAAGATGTGCACGGAGCCCCTCTGTCTACACTGGCAGCAACCGAGTCTAGGTAGCTAGCTGTCATGTTTTCTGACAAGCGACAAAACCTTGCCGCCACGAATGCAACCTCTACGTGTTATAGGCAACGACAAACAGGAACACAACCAGCTGAAAGAGACACAAAAAAAACACTATCGCACGCACTAGACCTGGTCACGTTGACGTTTCTACCGAGATCGATAACAACACGATTCAGCGGATCTCGCACTAGCATGGTTGCGAGATGCGCAGGCTGCAACCAGGCGGCGCCGATGTCCGTGGGACTGTTGAACCCCGGGTTCGTTCCTCGCAACCTGCCCAGAAAGGGGCAGAATAGGCCATTTTCTGCAAATCAAGTAGATGTGACAGGTCAGACCCCGTTTCCCTGCAGCAGAGCAAAGGCAATGCAATGCGCGGGGGGGGTTGTATGCGTGGGCGCAGGGTTGTATAGTTAAAGTGCACGGCTTTGTCTCGGCGATGGGTAACAAGGGAAAATGGCTTTAATAATAATTTAGCTGTACATGTAGAATGACACCCCTTGTACCGAAATCTCTCAATGCACCCACAACTCGAAACGACTCGACGTACACTAGCACGACATGAACAAGTTCGCAAGGTTGGACCCCCCCTTCTCTCTCTCCTCTCTCACAGCCCTACCTGCATCCATCTGCACGGAGACTCCGGATCTGCAGGGCGGTTCTTTTCATTCTAGAGGCTATTAACCCCCCGGTTATGGGGAGGGGGGCGGTTTCGTGCGTGTTTCGAAAAGGGCGGTTCAGTTTTCTTTCTTCACCCGACCGACCCTAACTAGTTTGCCTTGCAAAACCCCCTTTGAAAAATATAGAGGTCCGGACAGCTTCAAAGACAAGAGCCTGGATAGATGCTGCGTTTCTGTACATTCTGAAATAGTGACATTGTAGTCTTTTCTTTTACACACGGACGTGAGCTCACCCTTTTGAAACGGCGCGACACGGCTCTCTTTCACCAACCTCAACCGTCCCTTGCGCTCACGCCCCCTGCAAAAAAATCTCATTTTTTTTTCTTCAAATCCATTTAATTTGACTTTACGATATCGATGGTGTCATCTTGCAGCCGTTCTTTGTTCGTTGCAGATTTGCAACCGGCGCGCTCTCCGAGTGGTGACTGGCGCGACCGTCCACAATGTGTGTCCCGATGCAGCAATCTTCCACATTCCAGTTCACCCACACCATCCCTCCCCCCCCCTTTTTTTTTTCTTTCACCATGTTTTTTTTTTGCCCTTGACCCGTTTCGTCTGTTTTACCTTTCTTCCTATCCCACCCTTACTCATGTACAGCGGGGGGGGGGACGGCGCGTCCACTGGCAGCCCCCCTCCCTCTGCCCCGACTGCGCGGTTCTCCCGTCGCTCCATGACTTGCAGCAGGGCCCGGAGTTGACTCCAGGCCGGTCACGGAGTCCCCTTCTTTCGTCCCGATTCACTCACTGTAGACACGCCCCCCTGTGGTGGTGGGTTGGTGGACTGGGTTTGCCTGAGAGCAGCGACATTTGGTTGGAAGAGGGAGAAAGCGTGATGGCTTCAACTCTCCGCTCGTTCCCCTCTCCCACCACCACCCCCCCCCTTCGTTCGGTTTGCCCCGATAGCTTGCCTGTGTTTCCACTTTTGAAGAAAAAAAAAACCGTTCATGGCGTCAAACTTGGCTGCTGCGTCGGCCGCCGCCCCGGCTGCTGCCTTTTTGTCCCTCACCGGCCGCAGTTTGCAGGTTCCCACGAGGGACGGGCGGCTCTCTCCTCGTCGGTGTCGTGCCGGTCCCTTGAGCATCCGTGACTGTGTGCTTGGCTGTGGGAACAGGTGTGTATGTAAAAGAAATGGCTTGCGGTTTCGTTGCATGCGTCCATCGTACAACCCCCAACACTGCATCATCGACCCATGACTTGTGGTGAGACGGATGCGATTCTTGGTTCTGTCATATCCAACTTGACTCTTCTTGCTTCAACACACTGACTAGGTCAGTTGTAGCGCCCCGTTTTCTCTACAGTGATGAAATGTTACATTTTGCGTGTAAGCGAGCAGTATCCGCACATTGTCTTGGACGCGACTATGACGCCGAGTGCGGCGGGAGACACGAGGGGCAGCAAGACGTAACCGCCTGTACCAGTTTTTCCCGTCTTCTCGTATCTTTCAGTCTCTTTCATCGCAATCCTAGCCGTTCGAGGCGCACACAAGTCAGACGTGATCGGATGGCGCGCCACCTCGGGCAATCAAGCCCCCAAACCAGCCCAGCTCTCGACTCTGTGAGTGGCGACAGTGGCGACATCTTGTTCAACTGCCGCGATGGATACAGGAAACAAGGAGAATCAACAACGCCACCGCCACAGTTCTCAATAAAGACGCTTTCCCCCGTTTCTGTGCTGCACGTACCAACGACACAACAAGTTGCAACATGGGACACGTCCTTGTCCGAGCTTGTCGGGCCGCAGCGAACAACAATCACATGATGCCATTCTGTTTCACGTTGAAAGAAAAAGAACATTCGATGCTTTTTTCGGCCTCGGACATTTTCTTCTCTTGGAAAAAAAAGTCTAACTGTTGGGGCCTGTTGACTCGCTTTGGTCGACATGGCGTTGGTGGCACAAGTCAAGACTCAAAAGAGAATGCGAACAGCTGAGACATGCATCTGAATCCGGCGTTAGCTCTTTCTCGATTTCGTCGAGCTGTCTCAGCCCTGTGTCAGTCAAGACCAAAAGAGTTCATTGCACGAGAATGCCGTACAGGGTCGACGAACATGGTGGTGTCGGTTCTGTAGTCTCTTCACAACCACCATCATCGTCTCGTCTTCCGTCAGTCGGTCGGCTTGTGCCGCGGCCCTTGCCTTGCCGACAGAACTTCGATCAATACCAGCGCCGCTTGAGCCGTAACTTTCCCTAGTTCTCCGTTCTTCCGAGGCTCTTATCCCGGACTTTGCACGGCTCTTTGTCCCATGTCCCATGTGCGATTCAGACCGGCACTAATGCACCACCGTCTTTTTTTCTCATCTTTTTTCCTAATTGTCATTCTCTATAGCCAAGTTGACCGAGTCTCATCGCTCACCTTGCTTCTTCTCCCCCTTTTTTGCTTCTTCGCTCACACCCTCCCCCACAGTAGCGGCTCCAGTTGAGTTCTGTTAGCTGCAAACTCTGCCGCCTCTCCAAAATCGCGTCGTCTCTTGTCCAGCTGACCTCTGTCCCTCCTTGTCCTTCTCTTCTTGCACTTGCTGGCGGGCTTGCCGCTACTGCTGCCAAACAACCGATGATGATGCCTCCGCCCACCCTCCCTTCTACTGGCTTCCATCCATTGAGGGCTCCTATTTTAGTGTCTTCTTCTGCTTCTTCTGTGGAGCTTCTTGTACTCATGCCCACAAACCTATGAGGTGGTGATGCCTCTAGTAGCCCTTTACCCTAATCCGGCGAACAAGGGCAGACACACCCATTGTCAGTAGCATTCTGTCTTGGTTAGAAGAGCCTCCAGAACGCGACCGAAATTGGACTAGCTAGAGCCCAGAAAACTGGAAGAGCTGCTCTCCGCGCGTATATGTGAGAATAGGCGCAGCTGCCATACGAGACCGACCCAGCCCAGGACTCAGGAATCGCCACCAAGCGCTGCTGCAACAATAGAAATCCCAAAGTGTGGCCCGTTTACATCTCTGGACCTTTTGACTCCATCCCATAGACTTTTCCCCTTTTTTCTCCCATTTCTTTGCGTGTCTTGTCATGTGTACGGGAAGCTTCTCCAGCCCACTTTCGCAACCGCCCCTCTCGCTGTTTCCGGTGACTTGGACAGACTTGCCAATATGCCCCCTCGTAAAGCCCCCGTGATCTATTCAACGTAGCAGATATAGCTCTACCCACTGATGGCCGGCTGCATACGTCGCTGCTGGCTTGCTTCCGAGCCCGTGCAGGTGGGAAGCCTTTCGCTGAGGCCGCCGCTCCTCACCGGTGGCCGCTCGCAGTATCCTCAGGGTTGTGGATGTATGTATGACACCGGAGCCTCCCGTCCTTCAGCGCCCCAGTGTTTGCCTCCTTTTCCCTTCTCACCATTGTTCGGGTGCCTCGTCCGGACGACCCTAATGTAGGTACAGCCCGCCAATCCTCGGTAGTGCACACTAATCAACCCGAGTCCGCAAGCCGTCGAGGAAGGGCCGCCACGCACCCGGCGGCCCCAGGATAAGGGCCTTGGTGCCCGCCCAGTGCAGGAGGTGAGGCCAGCGTTGTTGACCGCGCTGCCGGTAGACGGCTGCTTGGTTCCTTCCAACACCCCTCCATCCATCCCCTCCCCCCTCCTCCGTTCTTGCAGTGCCCCTCCAACCCTCCCTCCACCCTGCCCTCAACCCATTGCGCATGCGTCATCCCCGCCAGCGTCCCTTTCTTCTTGTATGCGTAGAGTTGTCTGCTGGATTCCATTTCTCGGGCTAGTACCGAGCCCAATGAGAGGCCTCGACTAGGCGTGTGGAAGACACAAGTCATGTCAACCGTGTTTGGCTTCCCGCGGCGTGCAACGGCGTAGTAGCTGAAAGCCAGCCTGCTCCTCTGACAAGCCCCTCCCGTCCGTCGAGAACGAGAGCCCCCAGAGGAGGGGGGGGGACAAACATGCCCTTGCCATACTGGTAGTTGATCCTCCTGCTTCACACAAGCACGCCACACTGCTACTCGTACATCCCCCACCTTGCCCGTAGTCTCCGCTAATAAGATACAACGCTGGCCCTTGTCCGCCCGCGAGTTTGTTGCCTCTGCTCGGACCCTGGCTCTGTCTCCTGATTCGACGTAGGCCACCTTCAGGACCTCCCCAGCCAATGTACAGTACGCTCACCGCTCATGACGGTATAGACAGTCCTTTCATTGCTCTGTGGGGCGCATCAGGTTAGGAAGTTCACGTTTGCCGTGCGAAGAGGGGTTTGATAGCCACAGAACTGACCAAGAGTCAGTCAGTGTCGACGTTCTTGGTCGGTTTCGAAGTTTCTGGGTCAGTTTCAAAAGTCTGCTCTTTGCAAATTGGCATAGGAAAAGGCAACAGGAGCCAACTCCAAAGACTATCATGTGAGAAGGAATACCGCAAACCGGTGTGGAAGGTGGTACTTACCAGGCTTGGTAATTGGCGGCTTGCCCCCGTGGCCCCTCTTCCACAAAACGATGGCATTCATCCAGAGGAGCAACATCACAGAAAAAGAAAGGTTGATTGAGAAACATTAGTGGCCTGTATTGCTGATAAATTACATAGAGTCGGGGAGCCAAATAGCCCCCCTGCAATGCAGTAATTTCAACGCCTATTCGAGGACCTACCCAGTAGCTCGGCAGGAGCCATCACCGGGCATGTGCACTTTCAAGTCAAGCGCGCTAAATATTCCTGTATACCACAGATACAGCAGGGATATAAACATGGAGAGAAAAGCAGAAAACCAGCCAACCGATATGTGCCGTGAGGCGTATCCATCTTCATACTTGTAATAAAAAGGACGAGCATTTGCAAAACACCGCCCTGGTAAGTCGAATCGAAGAGTTGATTGCTCGATTCCAACCAGGAGCAGACCAAAAATAATAAACAATATATCCTGCGCAGCCGAGAGCGAAAATCGAACGAAGAAGAAAAAAAATCTGAAAAAATGCCAAAACATAAACAGATGCTGACTGGGCGTTTGTTGCCAAACTTGGAATTCCGTCTATATTTGCGCCGTTCCTGTGTTTTGTTGTCTGTTGTTGCTGTTGTATTGACAGGCTCCGCGCTGCGTTAGTGCTGGCCATCGCACGGGAAAACATCACCCTCCGTCGTATAGCTCGATGCCAAGCGTGCTGCCAGCAGCCGACGGTCGAATGCATGTTCATCCTACGCAGTTATGCGAAGCCAGTCAACATGTCCCAAGGACATCCAGATATCCGCGGGGAGACTTTAGTCGCGAGTCGGGGGCCCGGCCCCGTCCCTCGGACGATTCAAACGATCAATCATGCCCTTGTCGATGTCGTTCTTGTCCACCAGATTACTCAAGCTCATTTTCGATGTCGGTGCTTGCTGGCTTTGCGCCACAGGCACGCCGGGCTGACGAACTGGGGTCGAGGAGCCGCTGGAGCCATTTCCACCAGGAGATCGCGACTGAGGACCGGCAGTGGAAGAGGTCGTCGTGTGTGGGCTGTGGCGGGTGGGATAGTAAGAGGGGCCTCCACCAGGACTGCTCTTGCTGGAGAACTCGGCAGGAGATCGTCTGCGCGGGTCATCGTCGTGAGCACCCCGAGGTGCCTGTCGTCGCCAGTCTTCCTCTCGGTCCATAGCCTCTCTGGATCGCTTGCCAGCAGCCATGGACGGGTCCTCTCGGGGATCCCCACCATAGGATGCGTATGTTTCGGTTGGCGATTGCGCGGGCTGACCGTAGTACGCGCCACCTGGCGGAGGCGGCCCTCCATGGTGAGGAGGATAATGATGACCGCCGGGAACAGAGTTGGGCGCGAGAGGCTGGCCGTAGGCGCCAAATAGCTGCGTGCCAGGAGGAACACCACCTTGAACCGCGGAGAGAGGAACAAAGGCTGTCGAGCTCGATGAAGAGACTGGCTGGAAAATACATTCCTGGTTCATTCTTGCACAGTTCTGGCACTTGCCTCCGGGAGCGCTCTGGTATCCACTGCAGCGAATCTATTGTGTGTTAGCGTTGTCAACGAGGAAGAGTACGAGGTGAGAAATACAAACCTTGCGCTTTCGACAGTATCTGCAAGCGATGGAGGTGCGTTGCCGCGGCGCTGCCTGCGCCATTTGGGGACCAACCCCCTGACCAAAATCCGGAGGGTATGACCCAGGCGGAGCGCCGCGATAATCACGAGGGTAGCCGTTTGGAGGTGGGCCCTGCTGACGGTAGTAGTAGTCGGACGGATAGTCGCTATATTGGGGGTGGCGTCTATCGTCATAGTAGCTGCTGCGATGCTCTGGCGGGTACGCCTGCGAACGGTGTTCGGATCCGGGCTGGAGAGGAGGGAGATAGCCGGGCGGGTGGCCACCTTGTCCAGGCGGAGGAAAGCCATTTCCGCCATTGGGTGAGGCATACCGTGGATCTGGGGGATAACCACGGCCTCCTGGAGGCTGTCCGGAGTAGCCTCCTCCGTGAGGATCCTGAATGGAAGGCAGGGTGACTGAGGCAGACATGGTGCCTCGCGTGTCAGGCCCGTGTCGAGCTTCTTCGATAGAAGAACGAGAGTGTGGCGAAGACTGCGAATGATCCTCCGGGCGAACTTGCTGAGGATAGTCTCGACGGTAACGGTCGTCGGCCATGCTATGTATGTCCTCTGATGGACACTCAGGGCTGGAACACAGCCACTGAAGCGGTGGTTAATTGGCGAGGGTAGCGAGAAGGTTGATGAGGTGGACAGTTAAAATTGCATTTGACGGCGAGTAGAAGCGCGTGGGAGTGGCGAGGTAGGAGTAGAAGTTATGCGCCGACGAGGAGTGGCTAGTTGCAGTTGTAAGAACGGTAGCAAGTTGCGTCGTGCCTTAGCACCAAAATCGAACGCGGCTTCTGAAGTAGATCGGTGGGCGTAATAAGGAGTGGTTGCGGTGGATAGCGTAGCTAGATAGCGACGACTTCGAGGTAGGGTGTCAAGAGCAGAGCCCGCACGTAGCTGCTTCGAGAGATGAAAATGACAGCCAACAAGACTCGGACGGACGCGCGCGAAGCCCTTGACGAATGCGTAAAAGAGGGTTGGCGCAGGAAGAAGAAGCGCAGCGGCCGGGCTGGCGGTGGAAGTAAATGGTAATGGTGGTGGGGAGTATGAGAAGGGGAGGGGGAGGGGGGGGGGGGGGGGGCGTGTGAACGTGAAGTGGTGGGCCGTATGTATATATACGTTAGCGGGAGAGGGCAGAGACCATCTGAGCGGGAATGCAGAAGCGGGCGGATGGACCGGTGTCTTGCCGCTCCCAGCGCTGGGCTCAAGCCAAAAAGAAAAAGTGCTACAAGGTAAGTTAGAGACCGCCCTTGCGCCCTAGGCAGAGGCTAGTTGAGGTTGCGCAGCTGCTTCGGGTCCGTCACTGTGGGCGTCGCTGGGAATCCGCCCCAAAGACAAAATACGGGTCGTGGCCTGACTTGCGACCCTGTAGTTACCTCGCTCGTTCCAAGCCAACACAGGTAAGATCGTGAGCGACAAACTGCTGAGTCGTCGAATCGCCTCTCCAATGACTAGCTGCACAATGAGGGGGTGTGATGGGACCGCTTTCGCCTGCGACTCAATTAGACTTTCCGCTATAATGACACAGCACAGCTGCCCTAGGCTTGAACAAATTCTGCGCCGCCACGGCCGAGATCTAGGGCCTTGCGATTTGCTTGTCAATTCAGCACCATCGGCTGCACACGTTGACGGCTCTGCGGCGGCGTGGCAATGACAAGGATTTCAGGCTGGCGCGGAGCGAGAACTGAGTAGCGAGTAGCACAGTGGTGGGTGAGACTCTGCTGTGATGCCATTCACAGTGACAGTTTGCTCTCAAGTGACAACAAAAGCCTTGCCGTTGCTCAATTGGTGCGTAATTCCACAATGACTTCAATTGCTACTGCGAATTGAGTGGGAGGCGAGGCCACTTGGCGTTTGTCCCAGCCAGTCACGCTCGTGGTAGTCGAGTGTTGATTGAAAATACGCACCGTGAGAATATGCCATGTAATTACAACAAATTATTTGGCGGTTTGGATTCCGGCAGAGTTATCGCGATCGTTACTGCCGCCTTGGAATAGTATGCGATCAAGGTGCAACCTGGGCAGAAAGCAGCGCGACGACAAAGCGTGATGATGATGACGCCGTTTGTTGCTGCGCAAGCGTTACGCGTGTGGCGGCTGAAGTCGGAGAAACGGGCTGTTAAGGTTTGGCACCGCAAGCCGTGACACTGTGGTACAGCAGGGATGTCGAGAGAATCGCCAGTGACGCACAACGGCTCGTGGGAGTGATGAAAGGAGTGCGAGTCCAGATTCCAGTCACAAACCCGTTGCTTTGAGAGACCACACAATCGATGTCGGGGTAAGCGAGAGTCAATTCGGCCAAGTTGGTGGACGGATCAAGTCCCAATGACGAGGTGTTCTGGTGCCCAATGCTCAGGCTGAAAGCCAGCAGAAACAGCGGCTTACGTGCTACGAAATGTGCGGAAGGCTCCCTCCAGTCAGTAGCACGGAGCAGAAGTACAAGGGCAAAGGACGAGCATGCAAATACCAGTACGTTCCAGTGATGCGAGGGGGTCGACGTAGTAAAGGGCAAGCTGGTCCTATTTGCTTGGCCGTCGCTGGTGTGTCCTGTGCTGGAGGCTTGTTGGCTGGCCCGTACGACTGGTACAGCATCAGAGCAAAAGGAAAGCTCCGTAGGTAGCAAAGAACAGGCCCCTTCCGTCTCCCCTCCCGCAGACTGCATAAAGGGCTGCGAATGGTCTCTCACACCATCTGTTAGCCGAGCCACCGCCCAGCCAGTTGCCAGTGCCCGCCTCCACTGGTCTAGTCGCCTCCTCTCCCACTCCAGCTCTCCCAGGGAAGAGACAACAAGCTGTGACGCAAGATGAGCGTTTTGGTAGGGGCGTGCGGCAGTGGCGTGGAGGGGAGTGCAGCACGTCTGGTCAGGAGGTCGCACGCTAGAACTGCCCTTGGTCCCGCGCGGCGCCCGTTCCCGGAGCGGCCTGCAGGTCGCAGAGGCGGCCGCAGGATGCACAAGCTGTGTGCTTCGGTCTCCACCATTGGCGCGCTTGCCCCAGTCCTAGAACACATTTCGAGGCTTCTTTTTCTGTATACCTGAGACGAGGGTTCGCTGGGCACTGGCTCGGTTTGTTAACAGTGCTGATATACCTCGGTCAATCTTTGTGGAGTGCTGAGTGGATTGTTGACCGGCGCGCCCGCCCTACCTCTTTCCAACCATCATGTCCAATTGGCCCTGCACAAGATCCCGACTTCCCTGTCGTAAAGCCAATTCGCCTGGCGTGGTGGCTTTTCCCATGGCCGCCACCGCAATGATCACGACCAGCCACACTAACCGTTCTAGATAGCGAAGTATTTTGATAGATGCTGAAACTCAAGTCATTTTGTTCTTTTTTATATGACGTCGACGCCCTGATATTCCTTGTAGCTACACTAATGCTAGCTTGAGAGGCAAATCGGTCAGGCCGTAACGAGTAATTGGCTGCATGAGGAATTGGGACTCAAAGGTGCTCGCGATAGTCATATATCTTGAAAGCGTCAACTTCTTTCCTCGGTCGCAGGGCGTATGTTAGGCTTTTCGGCTTCTGCTCTCGGGTTTTGTCAAGACTCGTCTGGGGTGATTACCCCTGTAGAGCTGGGCATCGGGCTCAAAAGCCTGTCTGCACATTGGGGCCCGCTGCCGCCCGCTGACGGTTCGCGCCGCGCGCTCCCGCAGCTACCAACAGGGTATGCTCGCCGGCGGCACGAACCGGTCTTGCGGCTTAGAAATATGTTCATTGTCATTATGTGTTGTCGACCAATTGCTACTCAAGTCTAGCCATCTTTTCTTGGTGTTGTCAGTCGGAATGTTGGCTCGGTCTCAGAGTTTGAAGAGATATCTTTGATGTTCGGCATATTACTGTCTAGGGCCAGCAGTTAGATCTCGTGTAACATCGAACCTTGCCCAACGATATAGAACAATGGCTTGTACCACACGAGCTGAGACCCAACATGGCTGCGGAGTGGCGATCGTTCGGCGCCTTACGTCGTTCAGAACTGGCCAGGGTGAGGGCCACAAATCAGCAAGTACACGGGGGCGAGAAGGCCGCATGGGAATCGTGATTTGCAGCTTCAGTACTGAGCGGGCCGATATGGGTCATGTGTAGGATGAGCCTGCACCTTGCTCTTGTCAGCCTGATGGCTAGCCGTCATATATCCTTGCAAGTATGGCGCGAATGGCGTGCACTGAATGCGGGTGACGTCGCACAGATGCCGGTCGGGAACACATGTAAAGCAAAATCCTCCCAGCTGGCGAGTTATCCGTATGCTTAAATATGTATGGAGAAATTCGAATCGACATCGAGGTTTGGTATCGGTTTGAGTTGGTAGGGGGATTCAACAATGTATAGTAATGTCAGTAAGCAAACGTGCATACAAGGATAGTCTTTCACTTCTTTTCTTGTTGGCTTGCTTGGCAAGTGTAAGTATCCAGATAGCATCTAATAAAGCACATGACATACTGATTTCGTATGCTGCCTGTCTGTGCTGGGATGTTTGAAGTCTCCTAAAGTCTCGTGACAAGTGGCGTTGGAGAGCCAAGCACGGGCGGCTAATTCAAATGAGTTGTGGTGGAGTACATTTTGCTCACGCGTTCATTTTCCACGACTTGTGCCCCCGTCAATGTGTTGTCGGAGCAATTGAGTGGCTGTTGCAAGAGTTGAAATCAATGTTAGGCAGGCGTTTGTAGTGAATCCACAATACTGATAGCCTAGGTAGGTACATTACGGGCACCTGGTAGCCACGTCTTGCACAAACATCGAGCGCATCTTGCCTCAACTTCCCATCTTGATAGTTTTCCATTCTCCAAAACACCCATTTATCAACAAACTTTGGAGCTGCGTTCGATAACATCAAAGGCTGATGAGGTCGCATCAAGATAAGTCTTTCAGAAGCCTGGACTCAGCACCACACACCAATAATAAACAGTGGGCTACAGAACCCATTCAACAGAGCGTTACCCGAGCCCCTCCGCTCCCCTTGGATCGTGCCTGGTTCATCGAAGCAAACACTCGGATTCTATTTTCGCTCACCAATCATAACCAATTTTGCTTCGGCGCTAGATGTGGTTTCGATCAAACCAACTTCAAAGGCGGTGGATTCGCCTCGACAAAAGAGGCACAACACAATCACGTCGCCAACCAAAAGACCTTTGACGACGTCTACCTTATAAGGGGGGTGCACATATCGCCGAGTGCCAATCCTTTCTGGCGAATCCGCGTCGCAAACACCATCCTCAGCATCCTAGCTCTTCGTACCGGTCTGGTGGCGGTGGGCCGTTGCACACAGAAGACGGCGAAGGGCACCCCTGGACCTCCCACTGGCGGCGACGTCAACCTGCCGAATCGTAACGAAGTTGCCCTGTGGAGGGCACTAATGGTCATAGTGCCTCCCGAGGGTCTGGAAACGCACCGAACTGTGACCAGTACCAGGAACCTGGCTACGGTGGCCACCCAATTACACTGCGCAGCAGGGGCTTGCTTGCCATGTGGTACCCCCTCCGAGGGGCTGCGAACTCCACAAGCACAGGCGCAGTGACACCGGACAGTGAGGTGCCTATCCTTGGACGCCAGCCGCAGCCAGAAGTGCGGTCAGAGGGGCTCTCGTGACGTGTGCTGAGCCAATGACAAACTGCAGATGCAAGTCTCCGGCAAGAGTGGCTCGCAAACTACGCTTTACAGGCCCAATTTTCGCGGGTTCAAAGTCGCGTCCGGAGAAGAGTTTTACGGCATCTCTGGACCCGGTCTTTGGAGTATTGACTTGACCCAGCATTGTCGGAATAAAAAAAAAAGATACCAGAAGACCTGGGACAAACTGGTGGAGTTTAACTTCGGCGGCCTACTTTCTCAGTGACTGGTAATTTGTATTAGTTATTACCTCCTGTAACTAGGTTGGCCCCGGACTGCTCGGGCCGTGCCATGGCCGGTCCCCTGCAGCAGTACCAGCTCTTTATTAGCGGCGGAAGGCATTCTGGAGGCGGCTTTCCTCGTCACGGAACAGTTTATGCCGCAACAAGAATTCAGTCACGGTACTCACGTCACCAGCCAATGGAACCGCCCAATTCAACTACTAAGAGATCGGTGTTATATTATATAAGGGCGTGTCTCGCCCAGCTGCAATATTCAGATAGGCCACATGATATCGAGAACGGCTCGGAGTGTGCTCATGGAGTCGAATGAGACAACAAAATTTTCAAGCCAATGTTCCCAGGGAGAACTCCACAGAGCGCGCAGTCAGAACGGCTATAATTGATCGTGTTGACAACACTTTCGCGGGCGGTCACCTGCTTACGCTTGTCGCCATCGGTGGCAGGAAATGACGAGCCAGCTGGTATCAGTTGAGATTGCAGTGCAGGAAACCTGTCGGCTGCATGAGGGCTAGCACTCTGGCGACAGGAAGGCCGGCCCTAATTAGTGGATTGCCGTGTCAGGCGTGATGCACGGGAGAATACCAGCTGGCATGTAACGCGTGTAGATGCTGAAGCGCGAAGAAGCAAAAAAACGAGCAGCATACGGTTGGGCGGGGGATTCTTCTTCTCAGAGGGTCCTACCTAGGCAATTTGTACTATGCATGGGCTTAACGATATGCGGACAGTCAAGTCAACGTACTTGATAGACGATACTGGACCCAGCACGCCGAGCGTAAGTGATTTTCTGATGTCAGTGGGCAGATTGCCTTACTCATCATTTGTGCAAGCCAAATGATGCCGGAGAAATGGCAGGGTGATAATACATAGACGAGCACAGAAGCGTGCAGCCGATTCAACTGATAGCTTGACTTGCACTTGTGCTGGTTATTCGTGTGACAAGTCTATCACATTTTCGGGACAAGGTATCTCATCACACCACCACAATTATTTTCCTATCCGATTCGTGCCTTAACCGGCGACAGCACACAGTGGAGTCAACCCCAGACAATGTCTACGCGAAGCATTGATCTGTCTCTGTCTTCACAATGCAGCTGCTTCCTTGTGCGGTGAAGAGGTGGGGTAGATTTGGCCAACCGTGAATGTACCTACAAGTCATTGCGGCATTCGAGTCCTCCAGTTCAAATTATGGTACTCTGTATTCAGCGAGACTAGAGCCGAAGTTGCAGCGGGGACCGCCACAATTCAAGCCACAGGGGGCTTGCTCACCGCTGATGGTGGCTTGCAGACGGGTTGCAACCTGCGGCCAGGACATGGGAAAAAATGCGACGATGGGATGGGACAAAATTTTATCTTTTACTAATTTGTACTGGTAGTTACATGGTAGAGGGGGCGGCAGAATTTTCGCAGAGGTGCATTTTCATGCCACCTTGGCAGCATTGGGCTTCAATGACAACTGCCGAGACAAGACTGCAAGGCAGCGATGCATCCATCATGTGCTACGGGTCGACTGCACATCAGTAATAGATGGGGACATGGGAATAATTAGGAATGGATCGGGCCACATGGCATGGATCTCTTTTTCCTATTCGTGTTTCTATTCGTAACATTTTGTTGTTCGATGGGAAAAGGAAGCGTGCGGCGAGTCTTGGTCACTATCATCCTGCATCCTGTGGATAGTGGGCTCTCGTTGGGAGGTGTGGTGGCAGCCAACGTCTTAGCCAAGGCGGCCCAAAGGAGAGCTGAGAAGTGAGGGCGGGCGCTGTCGCGTTTCCTGAACGAAATGCAGACACGACAGCTCTTTTTATTTCCCTCTCGCCAAAGAAGAGCAAGTTGCCGTCACGCTTCCTGCAATGACGAGCGCGGCGCACAGCGCACATCACGTACCGTGTTAAATACACACCCAGTACTGTCTAGCAGCACTGTGATAGTATTGTCCCCCACCTTTTGCTGCAATAAAACCGCCGGCCCATGGCCCGTTCCGCCTCTTATTGAATGATATTGCATTGACCAGGCATGCATCTGGTCGTCACTCCGCCTCTCTCCCGGCCCCCCCTGTTGGTACTTGTATTCTTGTGCCTGTAATTCGTTCATTTTAATTTAATCCCCAGTACCTCTTTCTTTTTTAAACTGGGTCTGGTCACGTCGTCTCTTCCTCACGTGATGAAAGGCTCATGCGGGCGAGGACGATGCGAATCGGCAACATGCAGCCGCCCAGCGGGAGCGCCCCAGTTTTCACCCCCCCTGGTCTCTGCCAGTTGTGCCATTTACCGTGTCTCTCTCTCCTCGTCCGAGGAAAGCGGCGCTTGCCTGTTTGCCTGCCTGCCTGCCCAGACCTCCTATCCTTTCTTTCTTCGTCTCCATCATCACCCGTCAGTCTGGCTCATTGTCCCATCGGCAACGCATCGCGCAACGCTTGCACCATCAGTTTGCCCGTCGTCTCGGTCATGTCCGAGATTCCACAGTCAAACTTCCCGATTGTGCGGTTTCTCAACGCACCAGACATGTCCCTCGACCACGCACAGACTGTAACAGCAGCAAACAAGCCCATCCTGGCTCGTCTTGACAGTTAGTGTATGCGCCCCCTTTGCTAGTAGTGGCCATCACAATTGATGAGTCTCGCAGCCCAGTCTTGCGACCCCCTGGCCGCAATTTTACGGTCAAGGCCAATCCCCTTCGGGCGCCGCCGCCGCACGCCTTCTCCCCCAATTATCGTCCGGCCCTGCATGACATGCGTTACGGGCTCGGTCCGCCCACATAGGCCGTCCCCTCCGATTGCCGACTAGAAATACTTCGGCCTTTTTCCTTATTCGTGGTCATCGCTACTTCGCTTATAGCCGACAGGCTATCATCAACGCCCATGGCTTGATCAGCCCTGCAAGAGAAGCAGGCCACGTTGGCCCATCCAAAGCCCGCCGTTTCCTTGGCCCTTGGCTGATTCCAATGCACAAACTGCCAACAACACAATAGCCAGCAGGTGTCTACCTGCAGAAGGGGGGTGAAGGCAGCAAAATCTTGTCTCCAGACTGGGACACGCCAACTCCGCTAGCCCTTGAAATACAGTGTTGAGCCCCCTGTCCAGAGCCCAACCCCATCGTACTGGGTACTCTCTTGCAGAAGCAAACCCGACAACTGGTTGCGCTACTGAGTACAACGTCGACGGGAAGTGGAATGGGACGAGACATCCCGTCCGCTGGTGGGGGAGAATCCTGCTGCCAGCCTTGTGGTCATGGCCAACGTATCATCATTGTTTCTTCAAATTGTTTGCCGACGCTATGTTGCTTCACCGCATAGCCAAGCATGGAGAAAGTACGTTATAACATACAGGGCATTGTTTCCCAACGTATCCCTCCACGACATGAAGACGACCTCTCCCTGTGACGGGCCCCTGTTATAGCTCACGACCCTGTCCCATGTACGAGCTTTGTACGCTAGCTATCAAGCCTCCTCTCGCTCCCAACGGATAGTGTCGGTTGTCTGTCTGTGGCTCGGTGACAAGCAATGGGACGACCTTGCAGATTCAATCCCCGCTACAAATTACTTCTAACAGAATGTTACGAGTACAATCCACCTTGTCTCATAAATGCTTTTGCTCCCCAGTCACTTGGGCATGGCTGGGAACTCTTTGTGTCATGGAAAAGGCGGAGTGAATGACACGGGACCGAGCGTGCATGCAGGCTGACATGCGAGGTGCACATCTTGTGGAACCCATGTCAAACTCATGCCTGACGGATGCACAAGATTGGCATCACGATGCGTTGGCTGGTTCAGCCACCTTGGCAACCGGCCAACCTCCTTGACAAAACCCTGGCCCAATCGAGTATGCGAGGTTACACCCGCCACCCTGTCGCATTCATCAAATACACCTCGAAACTAACAATGGCGGCCCAACACTCGTTGGGCATGGCTCGCCATCAGGCAATGCTGCCCAGCTGCTCTTCAGCCACCCCATTCGACGCCGCACACTCGGGTGGAGTTAGCGCCCGCTGTCAGCTGCCCGATTCACGAAACATCAACAACGCGGCTTGCGTGTACATAAGCTCCCGAAGCTTAATATTGGAGACGTCCCTGGCTAGGAATACTCTCCCGGCTCCCGGGACCCAGCAGGGACTTCGATTTGCATTCACTGGCTACTATTGGTAGATCCTGCTCCGTCTTGGCGTCAAATCTGAGCTCGGATTCCGCCTCGAAACCCATTTCCGGGCAGCCTTCTGGAAGCCTTCCGTCGCATCTGTATTCATCGATTCTAGGTGCGGTGTGCCCCCTATGAAGACGAAATAACAGCTCGAGTGGCGATCAAGGCAACTGAGACGTGCGTGCGTTCGAAATGGTAAATCAATAGAATCCCGGCATCTGTAGAATTGTCCACTGATTGACTCAACAGTTATGGATTCACCAGAGCTGCACTGTTCGTCATTATACTTTCATTAGGTCATGCCAGCACTGCCCTGGTGCTGTATGCATAGTCCGCTTCATTGTGTGACACCGCCCAATCTGTTTAAACCTTCACTCTTTAGTTGTTCAAGTCACTGAACAACGATCAGCAAAACCAAAGAGCGGTATTATGACTCACCACCCGTTTACGATCCCCTACAAAGCGATAGTGCCGACCGTTTCCGAGAGCAAGTTGGATTATGAATTAGCCACACTTCCGTGTCTTCGGAAACTTTTCGAGATTATTTGACCGTCCAATTTTGGCGTAGTCGCTGAATCTGAACAACCCGGAGAGTTCTGCCGAGGCACCACCCACAAAGTCTCCGAGAAAAGTCTCCACGCGGGGTATATCAGCGCTAACTATCAGCATCCGAGAGCCTGATTCTAAACATCGATTACATCAATTACCAATAGATCATCAAAATCCTGATACTTTATTTCTCCATTTGTATATTATCCCGCTCGTTCAGTGCACCCGTTCTTATGTGTGCCGGCTGGTAACACTCTCATCTTCAATCATACCGAAACCGGGACAGAGGCTCTCACTCAGACAGCATGTCCAACTCTGGCGAAGTGAACCAACAGTATTTCAAGTAAGTCAACACATTTTTATCCTATTGTCACCTTTGCAAAGGGCCAAGAAAGCGTCTCTGTTCCAAATCTGACACAGATTTCATGGCGCCTGATATCCCAATCACAGCTTACCCTAAATGAAATGCTCAACATGACTAATGAGTTCCAAAATCAAGCAAAATCGCCGCCGATTACGACAAGCGATTCTCTAAATTCTTTGATGCTCTCAAGACCGAGCTACAGAGTAGCGTTGAATTCATCGGTATCAAGAACTGTGGAAGGCTTCTCGACTACGCCTGCGGCACGGGCTTTTTGTCTGTGGTTTGTCTTCCCAACGATCCCTGGCCCGTACCCCCTCGCTCGCTAAGCTGATCTTATCGGAAACACAGTCTCTGTTCCAAGCCATTGGCCAGGCTGTAGGTGTAGATATCACCGAGAACATGGTTGGCGCCTACAACACCAAAGCCATCAACGCTGTATGCATTTTGCGGATTAAACTCCACTTCCTACGATGAAGACTTCACTGACTCGCATCTCTGGTGGTTTTCTTGGATAGAATATACCGGAAGACCAACGAAAAGCATATATCGGAAATCTCCTCAGTACCCCTCCGTCGACGAGCCTTGACGGCCCTCTCTTCCATGGCTTCGACGTTGCCGGCGTTGGTATGGGATTCCACCATTTTGAGGATACCACGCTGGCAGCAACGCGCCTGGCCGAGCGCCTCGTAACGGGCGGCTCGCTGTTTATCCTCGACTTCTTGCCGCACGGCCCGGACCCGCACCACAACGCCGCGCGGGGCGTTCACCACCTTGGCTTTAACGAAGACAACACCCGCAAGATGTTTGAGTCAGCAGGCGCGGGGGCTGATTTTGCGTATAGGGAGCTCAACACAGAGGTGGTATTTGACAATACGCCGGAGCAGGGACAGACCATGCATCGCCGGCTGTTCCTTGCCAGAGGCACCAAGGCTGCCTAAAGATAAGAACTCTTGAACCCTGGACGGCTGCTGCTAGTCATCGCACAAACACAGTACACAGTATAGGCTGCAGGTTTCATTATTCTATTTCTACTGCAAGATCGAGCTTATACTGTACACCCATGTTTCTATGTGCGTTTACTCATCACCAACGACAAAGGCACCACCTAACAGAATGGCGGGTTCCTCAAGACTGTGGTGCTCGTAGCTACAGCCTGGTTAGCCGCTGTGTACTCTCTCGTTGTGGGGTTTGCGTACCTCAATGTGCCAACGCCGCCGGCCTCGAGCAGAAAGATTGGGCCAGCATCTAGCGGACGACCGCTCCAGCGTAGCGCTAGAGCACGTAGAATGTGGCCATGGGCGACAATGAGCACGTTTCCCGTGGCCGCAGGATCCGGATGGGTCCTTTCCAGCACTGGGCGGTGGAACTTTTCGCGGATATTGTGAATCAGCCTATCCAGTCTCTCCGTCACATCCTGCGGGCTCCTGAAGAAAGTGGATGTTAGCTGTATCACAAGGCACGGCAAGGGTGTTTTGATTCGGCAACCAGGGGTAAACTTACTCGCCGCCTGGGCAGCCGTCGTGCCAAATATCCCAGCGGCCCTCGAGGCCCTTGTCGGCGCGGATCTGGCGAATCTCGGGGCTGGTGACGCCCTCATACTCGCCATAGTCCCACTCCCGGATGTCATCGGTGACCTGAACCGCGGCCGCGCAGGAGAAACCCTCGCACGGGTTGTCGCCGTGGGGCTTCCATGGCAGCGTGCCGTCTGGCAGACCCAGATTGAGGAGCTCAAAGGTGCGCTGAGCGCGCTTGCGGGGCGATACGTAGCTGCCCGGAGGCTGTTAGCCTGTCTTCGTCATGGCGTGGTTTGGGGACAGGAAGAAAAAAACAAGAAAATGAGGCCAAGACATATTTTGACGTAGGGGTGCACTCGCTCGTACCGTACCTGACTGCACGGTACCACGGAAGACTGATGAGGAAAGAGAAGACACAGGGAGAAAACCCTTGGACAGCGTCTCAAGATGATCTGATATCTGACGAAAAAGCTGCGAGTGTCCGGCAGTGTCTCGGGTACGAAAACAAAAAGAAGGAAAGGAGGGGAGGGGCACACCGCTGCAGGGGAAAAGGAAGGGAATCGAAAACAGGCCACATGTGCTGCTGTGGCACAGCTGTTGCTGCCAACTTTTGCACGCGCCTTTTTGCAAACAAGAGGGAAACAAGAGGAAGAAGGAAGGCTAACTATCCCCAATGGGTGTAACGTTTTGCTGGTTGCCCTATCCCATGCGGCGGCTGCATGTCTCAGACTACCGTTTCTGCGACTGGGGGTAGGGGAGGAGGATTATTGCAAAGAGGGACGGTCCATGCCGTGTCTCTGATGCGCCGCCGCCGCCGCTGGGGTCTGCAAAGAGAAGAAAGAAGGAGACAAAAAAGAAGGACGAGCCTTGTCACCCGCACGGGGCAGGGTAGACAAAAATGACACACCCCCTCCCTCCCTCCCCTCTTGTCGTCGCACAACAGGATAGGATCAGAGGGCACGGGACATGGGTTTGGTGAAAGGGGGGTGTGTGCAGATTTGCATCTTTTTTTTGAGCGACAGGTTCGGGACAACTTTTGTGTAGCAGTGAATGTTGGTTCTCTTTGCAACGTTTCAAAGAGACACCAATGAAAGCACTGGAGGACAGCGGGCGGGCGCGCGTCTTGTTTGGGGTCAATGATTCTGGCAAAACTCACATGTGGTCGAGCTTGCCGGGCACAATCAGACGGTCCGGACCGACCATGGCTCTGCCGGTCGCCAGCACGCGCTTCTCGCCGTTTGCGGTGAGCGGGATGTCGGTGCGGCCCGTGTGCTTGCCGCTGAGCGACCACTCCGTCTCGCCGTGGCGGACAATGAAGACTTTGGGCGTCGATGGCATTTTTTTCTTTTTGGAGGCAGCGATACGCAAGGGAGGGGGGGCTTTGTCCGCGCGGGCGGGGGATTACTGAACCCTTTTTGAGCGGCTAAAGGTACTGAGAACAAAAGGGCTCTGTAAGAAGGTGAAGAGGAAGAAGACAAAGGCCCCTCTCTGTCTGGGCGTCGCGGGCGGAGAGGAGATCTTTTGTGAGCGATATTCGGCGGGCGCGCGGCATGAAAGGAGATGACTTCAGATCCCGCCAGCTGGGCTTACATAGATCGGGGGGGGCGCTTTGTAAAAGATGATTATTCACTAATGCGGATAACTAGCGGGGGGGAGAGGGGGGGGAAACGGCAACGACGGGGGGGGAGCGCAGGAACTGGCAAATCCACACTCAGGGCCCGGGACCAATGCCGGCGCTAAATGCTCCGGAGCGGCCGGGAGCCAGACTTGGTGGTGTTTCTGCCCGAAGTTGGAGTGTATGAAGCATGGTATAAGCTGTGGTGATTTTTGCAGGATTGTCTTGGTCAGCATGTCTTTCTAGTTACTCTCTTTACGGCCAATAAGCGTGTGATGCGGTTGAAGAAATACCGTAATCTGTGGAATACAAGTATATATAGGGTATTGAGAACGCTGGCGCACGTGTCGCTGAGAGGGTTCATCTACCACTGCAACACTATTCGCACTAGAATTGATCAAATGTTGGAGACAACCACAATGCTACTATCAATATTTAATAAGTATATAAAGAAGAGAATTTGCATGCTACAAGCTACAAGGGTTGCATCGCTCAAGAATGACGTCTTGTCGAAGCCTCGGGTCTCATACCAGTACATAAGCAGCTTCGGCGATTATAGCGGTTGCAGCCCGCCACAGGCAACTGAAGCTGGCCCATGAACATGCCAGGTCTGATCGGGTTTAACAGCGACAGAAAGACAATGTGTCGGACAGAAATAAATTGAATTGTTAAAAAGATATAAAAACAAGAGAGAAGACCCGGGCATGGAAATCAAGGGCGGGCTTCTCCAAATTCCCCAGACCTGACTCCAAGGATGCAGAAAACGCCAGCTTAGGAGAAACACTTATACAGGAAGAAGTAAAACAGCTGTACAACAAGAAAAAAGAGAGAAGAAAAAAGAAGAAAAAAATCGTCCACCCCTTCAGCAAAGTCCCTTGAACAATGTCCCCGTCGACGGCACCGGCCTCCACCGCCCGCCCGGCGCCGTCCCGGCAAAGCAGCAGGCCCCATGATCCGCAAAGCAGCACGCGCCATGATCCGAGAAGCAGCAGGCACCCCTATCCGAAAAGCAGCAGGCATATCTGTCCGAGAAGCAGCACGCATCGCGGTCCGAAAAACAGCAGGCGTCCCGGTCCGAGAAGCAGCAGCCGCCACGCGCCGAGAAGCAGCACGCGCCCGTCGAGCCGCCGTCGTGGCGCGCCCAGTACCCGCTGGCGTCCTTTTCGTCCCACGTCATCTTGGACGGCGGCTGGTAGCCGGCTTGGTCGACGCGGAGTATGCTGGCGGATGAGCGGTGCGTGCTGCTGCTGCTGCTGCGTTCGGAGGCATGGCGGTCGCGGTGCTGCGTGGACGAGGAGCCCGCTTCGTAGGGAGGAGGGAGATCATGCAGCTCGTGCGAGGAACCGTCCTCGGCCTCGCACGGCACGGTCTGGCGATGGCCTGACTGGCTGGATGCCACGGTCCGCGGAGCCTTGCTGTCGGACTGGTCTCCTTTGAAATCAGTGACGACCATGGTGATGTTGAGAAGCGCGTGTCAGGGTTGCTCGAAAGAGAGGAGGAAAAAGAATGATGATTCTGAAAATCTCCAAAAACGCCCCTACCCATTTTCTTTTCATGTCGAATGGCTGATGTGCTAGCTTCCAGTCCCACTCCAACAAGGCTGCGGGAGGCCGCGTCAAGAAACGTCGAGGTGGTGCTAGGGCTGAAGGGTGTTGCGTAATGCCCGTCGCAAGCTGAGTCGTCATGGCGAGAAGACGAGAACCATCTAACAACTATTCGGAAATTAAAGCCACGAATGCATGGGTAAACTGGGCTATTTCGTTGTACAGCTCGAGGCACGAGGCTCTATCTAGAGCGCGATGCATACATGCGCCATCTGGCCACCACTTCCCACCACCTGCGACCAATGAAGCCATTTTTATACCCTCAGTTGACAATCGGGGACCCTGCTAGTGTCAGGCCGTAAATATACAAAGTTCCAAGGCGCCAGCCGCTTACGCGAACCAGTAGCGGGGAACCTTTGCCCTTGCAACGCTACACCATTAGTATTTCCTCTGCACCATGGCCGCAAATCCCATCCATCAACCTTAACAAACACAGTACGATGAAGGCACGCATACACGTTGCCCTGGCCCTGGCCGCCGTGGCGTACGCCTCCCCGGCCGCCACCGACTTCAACTGGACCGCCATCACGCCCAGCCACGACCTCGAGTACCACGCCTGCTACGAGTCCTTGCGCTGCGCGCGCCTGCTGCTGCCGCTCGACTGGCTCAATGCCTCGTCCCCGGCCACAATCGCCCTGGCCATCATCCAGTCCCCCGCCGCCGTGCCCGTGTCGGACCCGACCTACGGCGGGCCCGTGCTCTCCAACCCCGGCGGGCCCGGCGGCTCGGGCGTCGACCACCTGCGGCGCGCCGCCGCCCAGCACCGCGAAATGGTCGACACCCCCGGCCGCAAGCACTTTGAGTACGTCTCCTTTGACCCCCGCGGCATCGGCCGCACCACGCCCCCGATCAACTGCTACCCGGCCGACCGCCTGGCGCGCGCCGCGGCGTCCCTCCAGGCCCGCGGCAGCGGCGGCCTTGGCGGGCCCGCGCCCGCCGCGCTCACATTGAACCTCGGGCTCGTGGGCATGCAGGCCGATCGCTGCGCCGACGCGAATGGGGACTTGCTGCAGTATGTGGGCACGACGAGCGTGGCGCGGGACATGCTGGCCGTGGTCGACAAGATTGCCGCGTACAATAGGAAGCAGACGGCGAACAAGGACGCGGACGCCTATCGCAACGATGCCCAGTTTGAGCTACGCAACGCGGACGCGGACGCGGATGATCTCCCGCGGCTGCAGTATATCGGCTTCTCGTACGGGACTGTTCTGGGCAACTACTTTGCCGCCATGTTCCCGGGCCGCGTCGGCCGTCTGCTCCTCGACGGTGTCGCCGACACCGACGACTATGCGACTGGCGACGTACGTTGGCTCCCTCCCTCCACACCCAATACATTACTAACATAGAATAGGGCTGGCTGGCCAACACCGTCGACACGGATGAGATGGTCGACCGCTTCTTCCGCGGCTGCTACGACGCCGGCGCTGGCACCTGCCCTCTCGTCCGCCCCGGCGACAAGTCCGGCGCCGACATTAGCCGGCGTTTCTGGTCCTGGGTCGCGCAGCTCGACGAGTCGCCCACGCTTGTCACCCAGCGCGACGGCGGCGGCGGCGGCGGCGGCGTCTCTGTGCTGCAGTCGCGCGACCTGCGCGCTCTCCTGCTCAGCGCGCTGTACCGGCCGCTCAGCGGATTCGCGGAGGCGGCCGCGCTCGCCGACCAAGCCATGCGCGGCAACACGAGTGCCCTGTACGACCTCGTGACCTCCACCTCAGGCGGGCCGCTGGCCGACGCCTGCCCCGTCGGCGGCGGCCACCGCAACGACACGGCGGCCGTGATCGGCACGCCCGACGCGCAAATCGCCATCCTGTGCGGCGACGGCGACAGCCTGCTGAACCGCACCGGGGCTTTTTGGCAGGGCTACGTGGCGCGGCAGCGCGCGCAGTCGTCCCTCGCCGGGGCCCTATGGAGCGGTATCCGGCTGTCGTGCGCGCGCTGGCAGGCGCACGCGGCGTGGCCGTTCAAGGGGCCGTTTACGACGCCGGCGGCGTCGCTGAACGCGTCCGCGCCGGAGCCCGGCCGGCCGGCGGCGCCCGTGTTTGTCTTGTCGAACCGCTTCGATCCGGTGACGCCGCTGCGGGCCGCGCGCAAGGTCGCGGGGAGGCACCCGGGCGCGGGCGTGCTCGTGCAGGAGGCCATGGGCCACTGCGTGTTCGGCACGCGTCCGGCGACGGAGTGCACGAGGGACCTGGTGCGCCGGTACTTTGACGAGGGCGTCGTGCCGGCGCGCGAGACGACGTGCGAGGCTGCGTGTCAGCCGTGGAGCAAGTGCGACGAGGCGGGTGCGGCGAGCGTCGAGTATGGGACTCCGCGCTACTTCCAGTTCCCGCTGCATATTTAGATTACAGTATAGCATGTAATTGCCATGATAGGCATTATTCTTAGCGTACTTTTGCGTGTGAGGTATCATGGTAGTATGATGGACTATGGCTTCACGCGGTACCTGCACTTCCTCACTCCAAGCGCCGCACTTGGCCTCCAACCCGACCATGGATGAATGGAGCTGGTTACAAATTTGAGATTAATACTACTATATGCATGATATGAGCGGAGATTGTAATACATGTGGAGAACAGGAGGGAACGCCATTCATGCTTTGGTGCCAACCACCTTGTCTAACTCAGGGTACTGCGGTATCCGAAATGGATCATTTGCTCGCAGAACCACAGTCTGGAGAAGCCTGTCCAGCTTCAACTTGGTCGCCGTCGACAGCAGAAGGTTGACAAAACGCAGCTTCATCTTGCCCTCACAGTACGGCCCACGCGTCACCGTCCTCGGAATGTTCTGTACGATGTCGACATATGGCCGAAACGTCCTCTCGTACGCCTCGAGCGCCGCGGGCAGATTCCCCGGCCGGTGCTTGGCAATCTCGCCCGCGAGCATAGTCGCCCCGATCAACGCCACGCTGGTGCCCATGCCCGTCAGCGGCGTCGGCGAGTAGCCCGCGTCGCCGACCAGCACGACGCGGTTGGCGGACCACACGCTGCTGCGGATCATGTGCGTCGACGAGGCGTAGAAGTCGTCTGCCTTGCGCATGGACGCGACGAGCTCCTCGGCACGCCAGCCGGCGTCCTGGAACAGCTCTGCAAAGAACTGCTTCTGCGCCTCAACGTCTTGTGCCAGCACGCGGTCCAGCTCTGCCGGGTGGCCGCGCACCGCCATGTACACCTGTCCGGCGCCTTCGGCAGGCTCGCGCGTCATCAGCATCCGCTGCCGGGTCGCAATAAACAGCGTCGTCAACTTTTCGGTCTCTTTGATGCGCGGTGTTTTGAAGAAGCACAGGTATACGCCCATGTTGACTGCGTCGTCGGTCGGCTGGCCGGCGCTCTGGAGCAGCATCTTGCGGATGCGCGAGCCCTGCCCGTCGGCGGCAATGAGCAAGTCGTACGTCTCGACCGTGCCATCGGAAAGGGTCACGACGACGCAGTCCTCTCTGTTGTCAAACGCGGCGACGGACAGGCCAAAGCGGTATGTGACGGCGTCCTTGGTGGCGTCGACGAGGACTCGGACCAGATCGTGGCGCATAATCTCATACTCGCTGGTGAAGCCCTGCTTACCGTGCTTGTCCTGCTCAATCTTGGGAAACAGCGCGACGCGCCGGCCCTTGGCATCGACAAACTCGGTGCCGGGCTCGTCAATGACGCGCGTCTTGACCGCGTCGAGGAGACCCATGCGACGCACGGCCTCGACGCCCTCCTTGCGAATGTCAATCTGCAGGCCGTTCTCCCGGATGCCGGGGAAGCGCTCGACAATGGTGCACCGGTGTCCGAGGCGGCTGAGCCAAAAGGCCGTGGCGGGCCCGGCGATGCCGGCTCCGCTGATGAGGATGTTGAGCGATTGGGGGGGTTCAGATGTCATTTTTTGTCTAGTCTTGATGGGGATGCCATTGATAATACAGTCCCCGCAGCCTCTTTATATAGATGTCATGAGAAATCCTCAGGCAAACAGACGTACCTAGTGCCGGACTTTGGCTCTGTCCGCGGACGATTTCTGGACTTGCAGCACCTGCTCCATCACGATGCGACCTCGAAGGTACGCGGGAGCTATATTAGGTAGGGCCCGAGTCGGGATGAGCCGCGATCTGCGCCTCTGACTGAATATTGGATGCACATGTCGGACGCGCATATATTGGGAATAGTGTTGCGTGGCCCGGTCTGGTAGAAATGACGTTGGTGGATTGACGGGCGTTTTGGACGGGCGTTTTGGACGGGCGTAGGAGTGCAAGTTGTACTCTTTTTGAAAATAGTCAGGGCGCAGCAACAAGTTAGCGGATTTTCCGTATTTCCGAAAAGTCAGACATTGATCTGTCCTTTGGCCGTCTTATGTCCAGGATGCAGCTTCGCAAAGGCGCTCGATTAGGCTGCGCTCTCGTAAGTTCGATTGTACCTCGCCAAGCGGTAACGGATATCGAGCACAGTGCTCGGTCATTAAGCCGACCTTGATGGATCAGGCCACTAGCATAAATATCGTTGCGGCTGAAGAGGACGTCTTGCAACCTGCAACAACTTTGAAGTGTTGTGTCACCACTGAAAAACTCGCGAGCATGAGAGATCAAAAGGCCACGGTCGCTGTCGTTGGGCTCGGTACGGTGGAGTCTGCGTTTGAAAGTCGCGTGATCAAATGCTGATGAGATAAAACAGGCGCTGTCGGCCTGGTTACGGTCAAAAATCTCGTGGAAGAAGGATTTGATGTGACTGGCTTCGAATCGAACAACTACATTGGTGGTGTCTGGCACTACACAGAGGAAAACCAGACATCCGTGCTGGAGTGTGAGTAGCACAGTGCGAACTTTGACGCCAATCGGCCCGCTGACTCTGAAGAAGCAACAATTGTGAATATTTCAAAGGAGCGCGTGGGTACATCCCAGACCCTTTCCAGCTGCCAATCTATTCTGACGAAAATCCTAGGGTTGCTTTACCGATTATGCGTTTCCAGACTCGGTTCCTTCGCACGCAAGCGCCAAAGACGTTCAACAGTACCTAGAAAGCTACGCCCAGCATTTCGACCTGGAGAAGCGATTCCGTCTCGGCGTGTCGGTCCAAAAGATCAAACGCGACGAGGCGGACAAGAAATGGGTGGTAGAAATGGCAGACGGCACGTCGGCGCGGTTCGACAAGGTGGTCGTCTCGACAGGGCCGACGTCGCATCCCAATATGCCCAAGATCTCGGGCGTGGAGCGCTTTGCAGGCGATTACATTCACTCGCAAGCGTTCAAGAGGTTAGAATTAGTTTAGGAGACATTTCGGGAGACTATTTGTCGCTAACAAGATCATCAGGCCAGAGCCCTTCAAGGGCAAGCGAGTGTTGCTGATCGGCCTGGGCAACACGACGGCTGACACAGTCGAGGCGCTTCGTGGCCATGCGAGCGAAATCTACATTTCGCACGCCAAGGGTATCTGCATCGTAAGTTGCATCATGTTTTGATGTCTAAAGCTTGCCGCGCAATTGCTCACATCACCAGCTTCCCCGAACAAGCAAAGAAGGCATCCCTTCAGACCACACCCTCACCCTGCGCAAAATCAACTTCCTCGCCGCCATCGACCGCTATGCACCCACCTTTGCCGACTGGATGATCAACAACATGATCACCAAGCTGTCCCGCGCGCGTTTCGCCATGCAGCCCGAGTGGCGGCTCTCGCCCGCCCTGCCGCTCAAATATGGCGGCGTTATCGTCTCCGACAACCTCGTGGCCAACTTCGCCGCCGGCGTCGTCAAGTCCGTGCCCGCCGTCACGTCCATCCTCGACGGCAGCACGGTGCAGCTCAGCGACGGGAGCACCGTCACCGTCGACAGCATCATCTGCTGCACCGGCTACCGCAAGGACTTTGGCCTCGTCGACCGCGCCGTCGACCCGACGCGCGACACGCTGCCGTCCTGGTTCGACCTGCCCGGCGCCTACGGCAAGCCGCTCCCGCGGCTCTACCAGAACATCTTCTCCCTCGACCACCCGGACTCGCTCGCCTTCATGGGCTGCGTCTGGTTCTTCAGCGGGGCGTTCCCGCTGTACGACCTGGCGTCCATGACGGTTGCGCAGGTATGGGCGGGTAAGTCTGCGCTGCCGTCCGTGCCCGCGATGAACGCGGCCGTCGACGCGCACCACCGGGTCGTCTGCGCGCGCGCGCGGCAGGGGCCGACGCCGGGCAGCTGGGTCCGGCAGAGCGCGTGGGAGCCCTGGGCGCACGCCACGGCCGGCACCGGGCTCGTGGAGCACCTTGGCTGGGGCTGGAAGGGCTGGGTGTTTTGGTGGCGGAACCGCGCCGAGTACAAGCTGCTCGTCGACGGCATCTACTCGCCGTTTCTTCTGCGCGTCTTTGACGGCAAGAGGAAGAAGTGGGATGGCGCGCGCGACGCCATTGCGAAGCTCAATCGCAAATAGAGGGCCGCAGCCATTTACCGAGAAGTACATCACAGCAGTTTCTATAAAGTCGATATTTGCGTTTGGAATTTACAATTAGACATGTACATACTCTCTGCCTCTTTGACCCTCTCCCTACCAGAACCGCACTGCATCCGGGCAGATGGACTCGCCGCCGCTCGAGGTCCAGATGGCCTGCTGGCGGACCTTGGTGCCCGTGTGCGCGGCATTGACCATGGTGCCGGCCTTGACAAAGATCCCGACGTGCGCGACGTGGTTCTTGCAGTCGCCGTTGGTGGCCCAGAAGAGCATGTCGCCGGCCTTGGCCTGCGCGCGGGGCAGGTGCTTGCCCATGGACGAGTGGTACTGTTCCTGCGCGGTGCGGGCTTTGGGCTTGATGTTAGTCGGATGTTTGTTCTACTTTCGTTTCATGGCGGCACGCACGGATAGTCTTGCCCTGGGCCTTGCAGACAGAGTACTGGGTCAGGCCGGAGCAGTCGTAGCCGCCCTTGGAAGGACCCTTGCAGCCGCCGCCGCCGTAGACGTAGTCGATGCCAATCTGGCTGTCGGCCGCCTTGACGATGCCGGGGCCGTCACGCTTCTCGGGCGCGGCGAGGGCACCCGCGGCGAGAATCATGCTGACGAGAGTAAATTTCATGGTGAGTGATGGTATGAGATTTTTTTGAACTGTGTAGAGATTTGTCTTGAAAAATATTACGGTCTTTTGTTTGGGAAATATGCGGATGACAACGACCTTTATAGCTGCGAGTCCGTGTAAGTCGGGGCATCGCAAGGCTGACCCGATGTGCACGACCTCTCCTAAAGCTGAATACCTTGCACTCCACTTTCGTCCTCCCTCTATCCAATTCCACGCTTCCTTGAATCGTCCTATTCCTAAGCGAGAAGGTCCGTAACGTCAGCACAACGTCGCACTACCCGCACCCGGCTTTGCATTCTCCTCCCTCTCATATGTATGCAGTTCTAGGCCGCCGCCCGTCCCCCCCCGCGGCACCACACCGATGGTGGATCTCTTGGCCTCTGATCGCAGGGGCAACGGGCGCCGATGCTGGGGTCTTAGTGGCTGCGTCCGGGCGGCGACTCGGGCTTCATTCGGGTAAGCGTTAGGGTAGTGGGTTGCTCAGCCGCACGGGGTCTTCACGCAACTTGTCGTATTGCTCGCCATGGAAGACTTCCATGGATAGTCTGGGGCTGAATGACCAGACGATGAGACTCTGACTGACGGGTTCATTTGATTCATCGCAGATCGTGCATTTCCTTGGCCTTAGCAGCTCGAGCTGAAAATGTACTGACGTTGATCAGTAGTGATACTGTCTTGAGAAGAGAAATGTCATAACTTGCCGGCTGAGAGATTCTGTACCATTCTCTGCAAGTCGAATGTCACAACTAATCCTTAGCCCGTTAACGTATCCGATGAGCAATGGCCGTTATCCGATCTTCAGTACTTTTGTAAGCTGGAGTTAGGCAGGTAGGTATGGTGACAGGCAAATATTGTTCGACTCAAGTCGACAAACGTCCACCACTCAGCTACATAGGTAATAAGTAGCTTACCGAGAATGAGCTCTTTCCTCACAAAGTATTGCAGCCTACCAAAAGCCGGTACTTCTGTACCAGTCCTACTCTTGATACCCCGGGTTCTATCTAACATGACAGGGGTTGTGACTTCTCTGTAACTAGCAAACCTGCTGGGGCATCATCAAAACAGCTTCAGATATGGCAGTTAACCCTATAGAGTCTTCTATTGTCTTTCTTTTTTTCTTTTTTTCTTTCATTCTTCTGTCTCGTAAAATCAAGTCGTGCTACAGCACCTCAGTAGGCAACCAATCGTCAAAGCCGCCACTATAAAGCAGCCATTTACAGTACAGTTACAGTGGTCGACAGCGCCACCACCAAAAGCCTCCAGCAGCTGACTAAAGGCCAAACTCGAGTGCAACGCAACCTCAATCGTTCCAAGCAGATCAAGCAAAGGTATTGCGACCCAACTGTGTACCATCGCGCCACTGTTCAACGATCAAACGTATACATCATCGAACCCGAAAATACAACTGCAACCATATCGAATCATTGGCTACAAGGCGACGACGCGACCACTGCGCAAACTCTTCCCCTCCCGTTGCGCATCGTGCGCACCATCGCCGCCTCGCAAGCCGATTCCCGAAACACAATCACACCATGTCCGGCCCATTACCCAAGCCCAAGCTGCGCGGCGGCCTGATTGCGAGCGCCTTTGGCGCCGTCATCATTGTCGGCGCCCTCACCGGCGCGCAGCTCAAATCCGACCACCAAAAGACCGAGGTACGCCATCCTGCCCGTTCCTATTCGATACAAACATCAAGGGCGAATACTTATTGGAATGCATAGTCAATCAAACACTTTCGGGCCGACGTACCGGCGCAGCAAATAGCGATCCTGCAAGAGCAACGAAAACACCTGCTGTATCAGCGCGCGCAAATCGATCGCAAAATAGAAGTCTTTCAGCAGCGCCTTGTAGAGCGCGAGGAAGAAAAGGTCAAACGAGAAAAATAAACTCGATTATTTGCTGTTGAAACGAACCCGAACGCGGAGCTGTTGCCACCGCGCGCTGTAGTTGATTGAGCTGCATGATACCCCCGATAGACTTGTACATTACCTGCATAGACGAAAATACACACCTAGCGAAATGGCCGCATTAATCATGATCCATGTTCATTCAGACAACTCCTATTCCATAAACCGCTTTTGTATTTATTTGCCCCCCTACTGTCCCTCAATGTCGGGCAGATCAATCGCCTTGTACAGCAGAATCAGGGCCGAGTGGGATTCGCCGCCACCTGATAGCCCCTCCACCTTGTCTACCGTCACTTCCGATACCTTGTCATCGTTGAACCACCACCAATTGCCGTCCTCTTCACCCTTAACGCCGGTCTTGGGATCGATGGGCGCAGTCTTCTTGACGTACGCAGTGTAGTGGCCGCTGTCGGCGCTGGCACCTTGATGCGTGACGACACCACGGAGCTCGTACAGTCCAGATTGGTTAGCACCATCGTCACTACGTAGCTCAGTGTTAATAAGCGCGCCCAGCTCCTTCTTAGCGCTCAAGAGAGCAGCAGCTTGCTCAGCCTCCACCTCAGCATCCGTCTTGTATGTCTCGCCCATTTCGGTATCACCGTCAGTCGACTTTGCTAGCTTTTCGCCACTTCTCTGCTTCTTCTCAGCTTCCGCCTTCTCCTTCTCCTTCAGCTCTCTCTCGCTGGGCAGACCAGCACCGCCGGCAATGTCATCAGTGTTATGGCTCTTCTTGCGTCGCTTGCGCGCACGCTCGATATCTTCTTCGTCCTTGCGTACTTCGCGGACCTTGTCTCGGATAGGTATAAGAGCCCCCCTCAGCTCGTCTGAACAGAATTCAACAATGTCAAGCTCCAGGGGAAACGTGACTTTGCGCATGATCTTGGCCTTTTTCCCGGTCTCGCGTTTCCAGAAGAAGCGCACAAAGTGAACGGTGAGGTATTTCGGAGCTCGTGAAATATCGTACTTCTTTGTGTATTTCGCATCTCGGTTGAGTACTTCCGACTTCTTCTCAATCTTCTCGCTAAGAGCAGCTAGGATGCCGTCGCGAAGGTGATTTGTCTGGGCGTCAATGTGGCAGTTGAGCTTGGAGAAGTGGTATTTGGAGACAATGGCCTTCTCTCCCGCATTGATGGCCTCATCTTCATCGGGAGCCATGTATGAGGTGAATTCGCCGCTCATGTACTTTTGAACAAACGAGATGTTGGGACCGCCCTTTTGTTTGATCTGGACCTTTTCGCCGAGCTGCTGGACAATCTGCGACCAAGCTTCCTCCGCATCTTGCTGTGCATAGGCATTGCTGGGTTTCACCTTTTCAGCAAACTGCGGAAAGACGACACGCAGGGCATTCAGAAAATTCATGGGCGGGATAGAATCTTGTGTGGCGCTCATCTTCTTGTAGAGTCCAGCCAGCTGCGAGGCCAGATCCATTTGCGACATCCCAGCCATGGGGCCCGTCGAATCACTTCCCCTGTAGTCCGCAAGAGCAGTTTGTAGTTCGGGGATGGCGCGCAGAGTCTGGAGGGTCGAGTTGAGGTAGCAGGTGTTGCCCAGGTTCATCAGACCAGCGGGTGTGGCGCCAACCTGCTGAGCCTTTTCGGCCTCTGTCATATCTTCGACAAATTTGACCTGCTCCTTGGGTCGCACAAGCTCACCAGAGCCGCCGCTGGGCGTGCCCATGACCATCAAGACCTGATTGGGCTTGAGGCCGACCACGCTCATGTCGGCGTCATCCTTGAGCTGGCCACCCTTGACCAGGATCTTTTGCCGTTCGGGTTCGACATTCGTCAACGAATAGATTTGGAGCTTGAAGTCGAGACCCGTGGTCTCGGTGTCGACGTCGACATCGTACTTTTTTCCCTGGTGCTTGGCGACCACTGTTCCCATCAGCAATTGTTTTGAACACGCCGGGAATGGCGGGGTAACGAACCAGGAATGATTGCCATGATGGCGAATGACTTTGTGTATGTAGAGGCAATTCCAACGCCTAAATTTTACTAAAAAGACACGCGTAGAGCAAAGGGCAGAAGAGATGTACAATGACGGCAGGAAAGGTGATGGAAGAGAGTTGGCGGTTTGGCTTCGAACATGGGTGGAGACGGACTGAAGAGTTGAGTGTGCGTCACGGCTGGTACCTGATTTATTACAGCGTCATAGGCGCGGTACGCTGTACAAGCGTCTGGTTACTACTACGTAGTTACAAACAGAACACCACAATGTTGTATTTCTGGACGGAACGACGGGGTTTTTCCCTTGAATATCTTTCCCGTAAAATCATCACATATTACTCTTCGGTGCCTCTTCTAACTTTCCTTCATTTGGTCCAGTATTTCCAACCTCATTCCAGTTGCTTTCCAGTGGTTGCCCAGCACGATTCAGTGGAGTCTCCAGTTGGTGAATGCGCCACACGCCGCCTGCACGCGCCACAATGCTCACGTGACACATACGTCGTTTCCTGGCTCAGCCCCACCAACACGTCAGGTCGTGAGCTCCAATGTGAACCCCGCCGTCGCAGCCAGCCGCAGTGACACTAGGCAACGTAACAAGCAGCAGCACCACTATCATCACGAGCGCCCAGCTGCGGCTTCCCCTTCTCTAGCCATGGTGAGTGCGCGCAACTACTATTCGCCATGAATCATCATTTGGGCTGACCAGTGGCGGGCGACAGTCTCAATCCCTCCGTCCCTACCTCCAGTGCGTCCGTAGCAGCTTGACGGCCGCCCTGACGCTCTCCAACTTTGCCTCGCAGACGGCCGAGCGACACAATGTCCCTGAAATCGAAGCCCAGTCGTCACCCGAGGTTCTCCTAACGCCACTAACGGTTGCGCGCAACGAAAACGAGCGAGTCCTCATCGAGCCCAGCATCAACTCCATCAGAATAAGCATCAAGATCAAGCAGGCCGACGAGATTGAGCACATCCTTGTACACAAGTTTACCCGATTCCTGACGCAACGAGCCGAGTCCTTTTTTATCCTGCGAAGAAAGCCGATTAAGGTACATAGGTGCCGCCCCAGGCCGATCCTCCCGGCGCCGGCGTGACTATTGACTAATCGTTATCCAGGGCTATGATATTTCTTTCTTAATAACCAACTTCCACACGGACGAGATGCTGAAGCACAAGCTGGTTGATTTCATCATTCAATTCATGGAGGATGTTGATAAGGAGATTTCCGAGATGAAACTCTTTGTATGTATTAGAACCAACATACGGGGTAATATACTAACAATTGGCAGCTGAACGCCAGAGCGCGTTTTGTGGCAGAGTCTTTCCTAACACCGGTGCGTATCTAATAACTGCGACTCCCAAGGACTTTGCTGACTGTTCCGCTGTCAGTTTAATTGAGGCGACACAAAATTATATCCAAGGTAGGAAAATAAGCCCATCGGGTCGAGGATGCAAGGCGGCTGGGCTTGCCCATGCCAGCTCTAGATGCATACAGCTACAAACCAAGTAGCAAATGACACAATTTACAATAGTCCATGGTGTGCGATATCGGTATGCGAGAGATTTCCAAAGTGAAAAGTGAAAGGAAAACATACAAGTATTGTCCTTCTTCGACAATAAGCCGGATGGCTGGGACCCGCCACATTCTCACTTGCGCTGGCGATGTCGGCGGCTGTCTTGACGTCTCCAGCAAACGGAGACCAGCTTCACACCATGCACCTTAATGAACGTGTCAGCCGGCTAGATCCACACTAGCAAGCTCATATATTTCTTGTTCCTCAACCTTCTTCCTTTCTTCCCCTATCCAACGTTCTCCTTCAACTATCTCAATCTCCAGTCGCTTGGCTTGAATTGACGCCAAGCCATTCGACCCCCTCAACCGCGTTTGTTCCTGTGCAAAACTCTACTCTATCTCAACAACAAATCCTCTCGCGCACCTGATTATCTTATCATTCACTCGCACTTTGCACCATTGGCCCTCCCATTATTTATTCATCTACAACGAGCCTCGCTGCGCCATGTAAGTGCCCCAACCTCTACTCTTCTCCGTCTTGTTTATTACCTTGCTGATTTCCGCGGCAGCGCTTCAAAATGGCCTCTACAAGCCACTCGCTCTTGAAGCTTTTCACAACCGGCTCTGATATCTCGCAGAGGACCTTTGACCCTTCGCTCCCCTCGCCTCCCGACTCTCACCTTGCCTGCTCGTCCCACAGCCACTCTGCCTCTTCCAGCAGCATGATGCAAAGCAGGCTCAATCCGGAATCCGCAGTCTGGACTCCGTCCGGTTGGGGCGACCTCTCTCCCGCTCACTCCAAGGTAGAGCGTCCAGACGACCGAGCCTCTTCAGAATGCTAACCTGTCAAAGGGCACCACCACGACCGCTCCAACAGACTCTGACCTGTCGGCCAGCTTCACCTCGAGCAACGATCTTGCACATGAGCTTCTATCTCAGGCCATCGCCCAAGGCTCCGTCTCCTCGGTCGGGACGCCATAGAATGGCACTCCGGCCAAGGGTTACGGCGATGAGCCGCGCAGTGGGGACCAGAAATTCTCTGGACACACATTCATGGCATCGCCTGAACCAGTATACCCCCGCCACTACCACATCCGTGGTATAAGCAGCGTCTCTGGCTCCATGCCGACTTCGGGTCGCATGACGGAGCCAAGAAACTATGCGCCACGCACGTCCGGCCGGCCCATGTCCAGCGAGCCACCCCCAAAGTTCAACTTGGAGCTGCCCACGCTGACCCAAAATGACCCCGAGGTGCTGCCAACCTCCGAGACTTCCGATTACCAACTCGGCGCTCTGGTGCAGCAGACTCTCCCTACCCAGCAGAGCCTCACTGTGTACCAGCCACCGGCAGCGGCCTTCGATGGCCGCTCAGAGAAGCTCAAGGCGCTGACGAACCCGGCCTGGGGCAACGCCAAGCTCGCTGCCGTCCTCGACCCGAGCAACATGCCGTTCGTCGAGGGGGCCAAGCAGGCCACGGCCAAGAACAACGGTGTGGTCCGCCTTGGTAACGTATGTGCAAACTGGACAACACTTTCTTGTCACTCACATGCTGAACTGACTGTGCAGATTCCTTTTTCGACCAAGCGCTCCGAGGTGATTGCGTTTCTCGGCCGCAACTCCAAGATCCTCAATGACGCTGAGGAGCCCGTCCACATCATCATGGACAAGGTCACCAGCAAGACCATGGACGCCTACGTCGAGTTCATGACGCTCGAGGATGCCATGCGTGCCGTGGAGAAACACTCACAGAACCAGCTCTCCGGCCGGCCCACGCGTCTAGGAGACCGCCCCGTAGACGTGCAGCTCTCCAGCCAGGCGAGCCTCATGAAGGATTTATTTCCCATCGCGGCCGGTATCGTCTGGAAGGGCGTGACGCCAGAGATCCAGCCGTTCAGACCCAATGAGCCGTGGTCGAATTTTAAAGGGTTTATCTCCGCCGAGGAGATGATCATGCTCGTCAAGCATGTCGAGGTTCCCCACCGAGTATGTTCCTTCTCTGCCCTCTCATCACCATCCTGTTCCTGTAACTGTCCACTGACCTGAGCCTCTCTTTTCCCCTAACCTCAGTCTCCTTTTTCCAAGGAGTGCCCGCAGCGCCCTTACGAGTGCCTCATCAGCACGCTGCGCAAGTTTCCTTGGTACATGACGGACTGCATCACGGTGAGCCAGCGCGGCGCCATGTTCCAGGCCACGCGGGACCTGCTGCAGCTGCTCCTCAAGAGCCTGGACAAGGGCAGCGACCCCGTCAACCTTAACAAGCAGCTTCTACGCCGCGTGACCAGGGCGGCCATGGAGTGCCCCGGCTTCACCACGCTCATGAAGGATGACGTGGCCTGGATCGCCGGCATGTCGGACGCTGAGCAGCGCAGCTACGGCCAGCCTCGGTTCGCGAGCAGCTGGCGCCACCAGTACGCGCTGGTCCCCAAGCCCGGTATGCCGCTGGACGTGGTCGAGGTATGCCTTCTTAAATAATCCCCCGCCCTACCCCTTTGCCACGACGGATGAGCTGACAGCGAGACTTCAGTGGTACATTGAGGCAATTCGGAACCAAACGATGCGTGACGTGTTTGCGCGTACCGCCCCTGGGGAGCGCCGCGCCATCCAGGATAAGGCACAAGCCACCGACGGTTACTGGGGTTACTTTTGGGCTGAGCTCAACTACCCGACCGGTGCCGAATTTGACGCCATGACGCTGTCGTACGCTGCGCAGCTTGAATTTGCGGTCATGGAGGCTATTCTTGCTCGCTCCTTTGGTTGAGTATCTTTTTGTGTTCTTTTTCTTTTGTTGACACTCGGGAAAAATCAAGTGGCTATTAAACAGCGGCGTTTTCTCTTCTTCTTCTTTTCTATATGCTGTTCACTTTGGAGGAAGTCTCCCTTTTTTTCGATGGATTATTTTTGAAGTAGGTGTTTTGGGAACTAACTTGACAAGTTGGTTTTTTGGGTTGCCCTTTTTGGCTGGACTGGACGCTGGCACATGGGGAATGGGAACATGGGAGGCAAAAAAGAAATGAACTTGGCCGATATTTTGTTTGTCACCTTCTTCTTCATTTTCGTTATTCTTCCTATCTAGTCGACTTAGCTTTATTCGGTTCGTTGATGATCTTGTTCCTTGTTCAAGTTTGCAATCGCGCGGCGCTTATACTTGAGGTTAGGTGGAGGCCGCCTAACATGACATTAGCAAAGAACTATGCACTCGCACTTACTATCTGAATTTTCTACCGCAAAAAAGTAACTACCGTGATACCGAAGGCACGGTTTGTGAGGGCATGACAATGAGACGCCCGGGAGTCGGGTTGCTGCCTACCTACCTAGGCAGATAGGTAGGTCAAAGTCTCAAGCGTAGGGTAGGTAATCGGCAAGGGCCACCGGATACCATTAACATGACCCAGCGTCTCAAAGAAAACATTTGCGCAGGATGTTGTTGAAAGAAATGCAATTTGAGTTCTACTTTTCATCGTAAACAAGCGAAAGGATCGGCCTCAATTTCCTGGATTGTCCAAAGTAGGAATGACATGGCGCGAGATTTGGACCGCAGAGTGGCCCGAATGCAACACACACCGGCAGAGGTTCCGCTAGCCAGCAAACAAGAAACGGGAAGCATAATTTCTTTTAACAGAGACAAACGTAACACATAAACAGTTTCATGGACTTGTCTATAATCGATATTACAACCCAAGTTGCCAAGGTACAAATGTCGGAGGCAGGTCGGCGCAATCTGAGCCTGTTACTTGATGATCTCGGTGGGGCAGAAGATCACAGCTAATTGCTGGAAACGGTCTTCGCTTCCAGAAAGCAGAAATTGGAACAGGCAGAGCGTCAACCACAGTCGGTAACAAACCGGCTTGAGACTGCATTTCGCAATCTACATATATTTCCGTGCGCACTTTGCAACCTAAGGCGGGTATGATTGCGGTTGTTGCCTGCCATGTGCTACTGAACGGCGCTGACTGGCGGGGTGGAAGTCGACGCCTGGCTCGACGGACAACAGATCCCAGAAACAGGCGAGGTAACTAATGATACCATTCGATATCTGCGCCCAGTACCCTTAAAATAAAATGGCTCATCTTGGCGACCACATTACGGTTTCTGGTAAACAGATGTCGCATCGTGCCCTTCTTCTTGCCAAGCAATGAGAATGACAGTAGTCCGTAGGGTCGAAGCTTTCGCGCCAGGTTCTGATCAAGTATAAAGAGTCATCACCTTCACGTTTGAAGAACATCCACCTTGCTCATCACTGGCAGCTTATTCGCAGCACGCACAGCTCTTCAGCCAACGAAACTTGAAGATGCACTTCACCGTCTTCGCCGTCTTCGCCGCCGCCGTCGTCCATGCCGGCCATGCCACCTACTTTGAGCCCAACGGAAACGCGGGTGCCTGCGGTTGGGACATCAGCAACGACGTCTGGGCTGTTGCCCTCCCTCCCCAGGCTTGGGACAATGGTGCTCACTGCGGCAAGGGCATCAAGATCAAGAGCAACGGCAAGACGCTGGACGGCTACATTGCCGACCTCTGCGCCGAGGGCTGCGCTTCCGACCAGGTCGACCTCACCCGCGGCTTCTTCCAGCAGTTTTCTCCCCTCTCCGCGGGTAAAATTGTTGTCGACTGGTCGTACTAAGACGCCCACCATCGCGGGGCCGCGTTGTCGGGTGAAAGCCGAGACCAATGAAGGGCATTAATCGGGATGGGGTCATTCTTATCTCGCGGTGGACGATGGGGAGTTTTATATATAAACCATGGTACTCCGCACATATTGAATATATTTTGTTTCGCCATGTTTGATCGACGCCGCGTGTGGATGTTTATATGGGGAGTTTCTCTCGTAAAATTGAGTGAAAGGGGTATTCTCGATGCTCCTATTACGTCTTGATTAGCAAAAACCAGCCTCGATGTATCATGCCCATCCCTCCGTCTCCTGTATTCCCGAGCCAAATAACTGGCAAAGAGCGGTGTTTGTCAGCCTAGCCACGTTTCTATCTGGAGCTCTTGTATGGACTTCGTCTGAAGTGGACAGGGAACGAACATAGATCGGCAAAGGCGCGGCACCCAATAGATGGTCCATGGACGAACAACAACGGGTTCTGAATGGCGGCCGATGCTGGAGCAACATTCACTCGAGCCTTTTTTTACTGGGGCGGACCGCGCCAGCTGGCAGATTAGCCGTTGCAATATCGGCCGCGAGAATGGGTCTTGTACCTGAAAGTACCCTCTCTAGCGTGGTGCGAGCCTGCAAGCCCCTGAAGAACTCCACTAGAGCCTGAGAAGCTTGGGCCAGTCCGCCCACAGCGGCTGCAGCTCGGCCGCTTGGCCAGTGCTGCCGGGACCCCACTGTCTCTGTTTGTAGCCTATGTAACTACCTCTCTTCAGGTACCCAGAAACGGTGCGTGGCACTCGCAGCAGCCAGTCGACATTGAATTGGTTGCACACCCTGAAACGTTTGCGATCCGTCCCTTGTTTGCAATGAAAATTTCTTTTCCTCGAATTAGATTTCTGCAGTCTTCTATTGTTCGGCTGGAATACAAAACTGGTCTGACCTTTCTACATTTCACCGCCGCGTTTCTCGGCCAGCCGCCTCCCTTCTTCATCAGATTATACTCAGTATCCCTACCTACGGAGTAGTCACATCCCGGCTCCACCATAGCTGTCTTTGACCAGGTCCCTGTCTGTTTTGTTGGCTGGCTTTTTCTCTCCTCTCCTCGCACTCGGACTTGCTCGGAGCATCTTCATCCCTCATTCTTCTTTCTCTTCCCACGTCAAATCCCATCCGATATCCATTCACCATGTCCGCCGAAGCTCCTCCCGCGGCCACCACCACCACCACGGCCGAGGCGCCCAAGACGCCTCTCGCCAGGCTCACGGCGCGCCTCGCCGAAATCACAACCAAGGTCGAATACGATGAGATGTGGGGCGTCGAGCTGGACGGATCGTCCGACAACATCCCCAGCCAGGTCGTTTTGCAAAAGTTTCTGCGCGCCAACAACAATGACGCCGCCGCCGCCGAGAAGCAGCTCGCGTCGGCCCTCGAGTGGCGCAAAAAGGTGCAGCCCGCCAAACTCGTCGACCAGCACTTTGACAAGAGCAAGTTTGCCGACCTGGGCTACGTGACGGTCCACAAGGACGACGCAGGCAAGGAGACGGTTGCCACTTGGAACATTTACGGTGCCGTCAAGGATAACAAGGCCACTTTTGGCAATGTTGAAGAGTATGTCCTAGTACACGCCACGTTGCCCTAGTGCACGCATCGCTAACGCCAGCTAGGTTTATCAAGTGGCGTGCTGCTCTTATGGAGCTCAGCGTCCAGAAGCTCAAGCTCAACGAGGTCAAGGAGCTCATCCCCGACGGCGGCGAGGACCCCTACCAGATGATCCAGACTCACGACTACCTCAATGTCAGCTTTTTCCGCATGGACCCTGCTGTCAAAGCCGCCAGCAAGGAGACCATCCAGACATTTTCCATGGCCTACCCCGAGCTCCTCGCCCACAAGTTTTTTGTCAACGTCCCTTTCATCATGGGCTGGATGTTTGGCGCCATGAAGCTCTTCCTCGCCCCCGCCACCCTCCGCAAGTTCCACCCCATGACCTCAGGCACCTCCCTCGCCGCCGAGCTGCCGGCCGTTGCCGCCACGCTCCCCAGCGAGTATGGCGGCAAGGGCCCGAGTGTCAAGGAGGTCGGCCAGCAGCTGGCGTTGGTCGACGCCGCGCCGAACGCCGACAAGACCGAGCCGGCCAAGGCGGAGGAGCCTACTCCCACCGCTGCGGCCCCTGCGGCGACGGCCGAGGACAAACTCGTGGCTGAGCCTTCTCCTGCTGCCGCGGAAAAGACGGAGGCTGCTACGAAGGCTGAGGAGGCTGCCCCAATTGTTGCGGCTGTCCCGGAGGCTGCTGCTGCTCCCGAAGTCGTTGCTGGCCCCGAGATTGTTGTTGCCCCCGAGGTTGTCGCTGAATCTGTTGCTGAAAAGACTGCTGCTTAAATTTGATTTGATACCAACTTGATGGTGATTTATCCTGGAGAATGTCGCGGAATGAGCGAAATACAAATGATACCTAGATTAGATTACTTTGAGATATCGCACAGTCTTGTGTGATTTAGCAGCAATAATACCCATGTTTCCGACTTTGACTCGCGACTCGCCTCAGCTCGCCAGTGCTGGTCAAAAAAGATTCGCTCTGTGTTTCAGCGTAGTTCAGTTACGGTACCCGTACGTGGAACTCAAAGCCTCGGGGCACCAAGCACTTGTGCCTCACCAGTACTCGCAAGTGTTGGTCCCCTTTCCCCATTGGCCTCATTTTCAAGCGCGTGTGAGTATGATAGAGATCTAGTGAGCGGGCGAGCTCAACAGTATCTTGCTTATCCTTGCTCGGGTGTCCGCAGGTCCGCATTCGATGACTTACAGCCCACCCCCTCCAGAGCACAACGGCCGCGTGTCGGCTCTTCACTTTACAATTTGCGAGGGGTGGAAACTCACAACTTTACAACTATAAGACTTGGCGCGGAGAGAGCGTTTAGTCCTCATTCTGTTTGTTCCGAGTCTTCGAATGAGACTCTGCAAATTTTCGACGGACGCCACTACGGTCGGTCAGAACAGAAAGATTCGGATATGTTGTGGAGCGATTCATGGCTGGATGTAGATGAATAGGATCTTTTTTTCGGGGAAGCTAGTTGTAGAGCCATCATGCGATATATGTGCATGAATCCCTGCATGTGTAAGTTTGGTTTCTCTCTTGAGCTCTGATTACCGAAGTCACTGCAGGCTTGTTTCTACTATGGCAATTATTCAATCTCCCAAGGCGCGATCTTGCGTAGAGACCGAATCCGTGACTGCGACAAACAGCGCAACGATGACCCTAGAGCGAATATGTCCTCGAAGTAGGGTTAGTTCTTGATGCATCGTGTCATCTTTGGCGAGGGTTCATAGGCAATGTCAATCTCAGGGTCCTAGTATTGGCCCACCTCGACAATGTCAGCCTCACTTTCATCAACAATGGCTAGCTGCAGAAAATGCCCAGCTTGTTAAGAGACAGAGGCTTCGGCACTGCCCCTTCTGCCTTCCTAGAGTTTTAGATTTCTCAACGAGTTCGGCACATGACATTTGAGCCTCACGACTGCGGTTACGGCGAGAGCACCCGCGCCTGACAACAAAGTTTCTCCGTAGATGTGGGACCCAGGAGACCATAGCAGCAATATCGCGTCGGGCGTCTTGCCTCTTTCCGAGGAGCGAGATGAAAGCAACTGGAACATGGACGCGAGGCTGGAAGTGTGGCGTTGTTGATGCACAGAAGTGCTGTGGAGCTGGCCAAGTATGCTGTTGTTGAGGCCCAATCGTTGGCTGCACCATCAAAGTCCGGAACAGAGCCGCAGTACTATCCCGATTGACCGGTTGAGCAAGTTTGGCGTAATGATGACGAGATGGTTGCGGTCACCACCAAATTGGAGCTCGCGCATAGCAATCCATGATACCAAATACCATCGCATACTATGGCAAGTGGTTAGCTTTAGGGTTGATGGTGTGCAAGACTCGTCCGGGGCACGCCGAGAATTCTGGCCTCGGAGGAGGAAGTTGATCCCAGCTGTGGGAATCAGGTGCTGGCTTTTTCGTGTGTTCAAAGATTTAGAAGGCGTTTTTGAACTCGAACAAACCGCCACATTTTGATACCTGAGACGGAGTGGACTGTCTGGGCCAAGAGGAGGAAAGTGGCAATGGGCACGATGTACCGCCATCAACCAAGCACGCCACACAGAATCATGGCATATTCTGTCTTCTCGTCATACTAGACAGACGCGTCATTTTCTATTGAAGAATACCGGAGATTAGTTAAAACGAAGCGAAGTTTCGCTGCAGCCTACCTGATGAGCGTGTAAATACATGCTCGACTTGTCGGTCGATCTGGGGAATCGCCTCAAAATACCACAGGTCCCCGTCTGAAGTGTTCAATTGCTGCGGTATACCGGGAGCACGGGTTATCTTGGAATTCTGAAAATGTGGTGACACGAGTTCTGGTTCCAGCCGGGGCTACCCGTGCCTGGAAGCCTAGGCAGGTAGTTAGTTGTAAGCGCCTTTGTGACGCTGGACTGTCCAACATGATGCTTGCCCGCCCGAGCTGCATGGAGGCCCCGGCAGTACCACAGAGTGATGATGCCGCCGGTAGTAATGTGATTTGATCCGTGATACCGTCCCATCACCTCCCCTGGTGCAGGCACCGAGTTACTCGGCGCTGTCTCGAGCGGAGTACATTTAGCTGGGAGACCGGGCGCGAGTCATCACAACCGAGAAATACATGCGGCAAGGGCGGTTTGCCGGATAACGGCGTAGCCACGCAGAGGTGGCTTTGAAAGCTGCGAAACAAGCTTCACACCGACTTGTCCTGTTTTATTCCCTCCTAGAGATGGATTTTTGAGCGAGTGTTGCGGACGATGGTGCTCGTCGTGGGACGGAGCTGTGTCAGCACCTGAACTAGCAAAGACACAGCGCCAGAGGGCCCTCGCGGCAATTTTTGAGGGCCAGGCAAAGTCTCCAAGTTTCGTGCATCGCCGCAGACTCGAAATCGGCATCGTCAAGGGCACGGGTGGCGCACAGGGTTTGAGTTACAAGGCAAGATGGCAGGTCGAGGAGGACATGTGGGGATGGAGGGTGAGAGCATCGTGCCGGCGCTACATTCAGGAGGTAGTAAGATTGGAGAAGAAAAAAAATACGTGCAGCGAATTGAAACAGCATCGACATGGTAGAGTCCAGCAAAATGTATGCCATGGTGGCGGATATGGTAGTGTTGATATATGACGGTAGTTGAAGTGCCGAATTAGGCAAGGCGACTAGGATCATCTGCGATGCAAGTCAAAAGGATATGACAAGGTGGTTTCTGGAGACAAACTTGGCGGACAAATTACAACAGCCAGGACGAGACGAAAAAAAGGTTGTCCCGGGACGCCCTGCGAGACGCGGCCTGAGCTGTGGCATGGCTCTTACGGGAGACCAGGTCTGGATCAAGGCCAGGTCTTTGTTTCGTGTGTTGCTTTCATCCGGATGGTAAAAAAAAAAGGCGTAGTACGAAAAAGAAGGACCGCCAAGGGCCGACATGGTAAATAAGCCGGCCCGCTCCCTTTTTCTGGCGCTCATGTGCATGTATGTGTGTGCTGGCCTTCTCTCACTTCTTCTCCTACACTTGTTGCACTTTCTTGAACCAGTCAACATCGTGTGGGCTCGTCAAGACGTCCATCCCGGCACCACGTGTGCAGCGTACAAGCCATCAAATAAATCGAATATTGAACCCGGAGACGACATCCCCTTGCTTGTCTCCTTCTTTTTCTCCCCTCCTTGACTTGTTGGTGCGTTGACTGTCGAGTTTCCGGCATCGACATACTTGCCGTCCCATCTCCACCCCACGCGTCCAACGCGCCGAGTCACCACGACAGAGCATCAATTCGTGTTTCTCTCGAGATCCGTCGAGTCAGACCTGCCTGAGCCTTTCCTGCCCGCGAGCCTCACTGCACGTGCAACTACATTTGCTGCCCGAGCAAGCACCTTGACAAAACCTCTTCGTTTGCCACCAAGCAGTCGACATCGCAGACGGCGCGTGCCAGCAACCAACCCTTTTTTGCCCGCTAATCAAAGTTCTGTTACGGAACGTCTAGGGGCCCTTTTATTCGCCCTTGTCTTGGGACTCTGTGGCTTGCTGCCTTTTTAGTCGACGGCAGTAGCGCTGCAACGCCAATCAGCAAATCCCATCCCGCACGGCTGCTCCGTCTGCCCCGTCGCCTCGCCTTGCCTCGCCGCCAAACGCCAACTCAGCTCTCCTTCTTCTCTTTCCGCAGCCCGTCCGTCACATTGTCGTGGCAGTACAGCCTTGGTCCTTGTTTCATTTCGTCTTTTTCTGTATCCTCATATTTCCCCTTTCCACGCCAGCTTCTACGCCGCTGGTCTCATCCCCCTTTACGAGACTCGACGTGCTCTATGCGACGCGGTTCGCTGTCGTGCTTCGCCCGTTTATTACGCTCCTTGTCGCGCGCCCGCCCGTGTCCACCGCGCGCCCACGCATTCATACTAGACAAACGCCTATAATCCCAGACACCATCCTCTCCCTTTCCACAACCTGTTGCCCACCATGCTGCCGCTCTTTCTTGAACCTACGTCGAGCGTCACGAGCAGCGTCGCCGACACAATGTCGCATGTCGCGTCGTCGAGCTCCACGCCACCCACCACCATCGCTGACAGCGACAGCCTGCACTCAGACACCTCCAAGCACGATGTCGCCTCCTTTGTTGAGCCCCTGCTCACTGCCTCGCAACCCGACTTCGAACTGGTGTCCGAACCTATACCGAAGACAGAACCGACACCCACTCCCGAGACTGCCATCGAGCCTGTCGCCGACCCCGTCACTGTGTCTGGAACCGCGTCCATCACCTCACTTGTCGCTGAGCCCGTCGCCGAGCCTGCTCAGCTCTCGCCCCAGCGGACACGCCGCAACTGTACTTCTGCGCCTGTTTACAACCTTTCCAAGCTGAGCGGCACCGCCGGCCACGGAAAGCGACGCGCCAATGGCGATGATGTCGCCGATCGCCGACGTCGCACAATCTCTGGTGATACTCTTATCAATGATGGCGTGTCGACTCGCAGCTCAATCTCGACCAGAGCAAAGTCTCGCAGTGGCAAGGATGCAATTGAGGCGCTCGATCTCGGCTGGACGCCCTCCGACCTCAACTCCCCGCGTGCTAGCCGTCGCCTTGCCCAAGAGTCTACTCGCCCGCGCCGTCTCAGCTCACGCCCTGGTGCAAGCGTTGGCGCCGCTGTATCATCTCTTGGCTCTCATCTATCCAAAATTGGCAAGCGCGGAACCAAGGCCTTCGCTGGCTCCATGAGCCGAGTATCGCGCGAGCTTTTGCGCTTACGCGACACGAATGAGTTTTCTCACATTGACGACCACCCTGTGCGTCACACCATTTGGGCCAATGGCAAGTTTGTTGATCCAAATGCGCCGCCGCCTACACCACCCAAAAAGAAGGCCAAGGAGGCCGCACCCGAGGAGGAAAAGGTCGAGGAACCCGTTACCGAAATTAAGCCTCGCGGACCCAAGAAGTTTCTGGCCAAGGGCCTGTACGCGGGTCAAGATGCGCCTACAAAGGCTGACTTTTGTCTGACGCTGGCCGAGAAGAAGAAGCTTGCCAGTCTTCCCGAGCTCGACTTCACAAAGAGCGTCAATCGCGTTATGCCAGCGCCTATATACACCGGGTTACGCCTGTTACTTCAGGGTCGCGACTTCAAGCTGCCATTCCAGACCTGCAACCCGCTGCCACCCGGTCAGCCCAAACCCGACGAATGGAAAAAGATGACCAAGAGTGCGATGCCTCTCCCACGACCTGCAGCACACTGTTTTGCTAACATTGCATAGATCGCTTCATTGGCGACTCCAAAGATTACTGGCGCAAGTCACCACACTACCAAGACTACTCCAAGTGCGTGTGCACGCCCGAAGACGGCTGTGGCGACAACTGCCAGAACCGAATCATGCTTTACGAATGTAACGATATCAACTGCAACGCAGGAAAAGCAACATGCACCAACAGAGCATTTGCCACACTCACTGCCCGACGTGCCAAGGGTGGAAAGTACCGTGTCGGTGTCGAAGTCATCAAAACGTCTGACCGTGGCTACGGCGTGAGGAGCAACCGCTGCTTCCGCCCTCATCAAATCATCATGGAATATGCTGGTGAAATCATCACGGAGGACGAATGCGACCGTCGCATGAAGAACGAGTACAAGAACAACGAGGTAAGCCAGTCTCACGTGGAGCATGTCGTGGAAGTGTTACTAACAGGATCTCTAGTGCTACTATTTGATGAGTTTTGACCAAAACATGATTATCGACGCCACCACTGGTAGCATAGCCAGATTTGTCAACCACAGCTGCAATCCCAACTGCCGCATGATCAAATGGATCGTCTCGGGTCAGCCGAGAATGGCCTTGTTTGCGGGTGACAGCCCCATCATGACGGGAGATGAGCTCACGTATGACTACAACTTTGACCCATTCTCCGCCAAGAATGTTCAAAGGTGTCTTTGCGGTGCCGACAACTGCCGCGGGTTTCTCGGACCTCGCCCACGTGAAGTGAAGCCCCCAAAGACTGATCTGAAAAATGCCGTCAAGGGCACGATCAAGGCTGGAAAGCGCAAGCTCAAGGAGATGCTCGGGGAGGAAGTGTCGAGCAACGACAAGAGCAAGAAACGCAAGATTCAGTCAGCCACGGGCGTCAAGCGCTCGCTCTCGAGCGCGAGCCTGAAGGCAGCCAAGGGTGCTGCGACGGCCATTAAGAAGAGCGTCTCCAACATGTCGCTGGCCAAGAAGAACTCGGCCAAATCGACGCCCGTGAAGCGGCGGGCCAGCACGGGCAACCTGCTAAAGAAGGCGACGGTAAATAAGTTGATTAAGATTCGGCCCGGCGCGGACAAGCCGAGCACGAAGCAGGTGTCCTCGCGCTCCTCCAGCCTGACCATGGTCGGCACCAGTGAGGAGAATGTGCGCGCCGGCAAAAAGACAACACCCAAGAAGGCATCTTCCGGCAAGGCATCAACCAAGAGTTCGCCTGGCGGTGCCTCGAAGAGTACGCCAAAAGGCTCGGCCAAGAGCCGAGCATCCAACGTGGGCGGTACTCCGCAGAGCAAAACGACGCCAAAGGGAAAAGTGACGCCAAAGACGGCCCAACGTCGACTCAGCGGCAAGCCCAAACAAATCGCCAAGCCGACAATTAAGCTTGTCGACGATTGAATGTGGCTGCTAGGCACGAGACTTTGTGTGAAGGAGGGTTCATCTGGCTGCGGTTGGACCAAAAGAAATACATCAAAGAAAATACACCAAAAGAAATATTCAAGAAATGTCTGCGGCGCAGACTATGTAGGTAATTATTCACATGTACAAGAGATCCGGAGCATTCAATTACGGCATTTGCTCTCCAATATACGCGACGAGAGGCAAGGGACGGGGGAAAGAGGAAAGAGGCAAGAAAGGAGGGGAATGAGGTTCGACTTGATTTCTTTGTCGCTTGTTTGGTCCTGCTTTTTCTGCAAGGAAAGTTTGGGATGAATTCATTTTTCGTCCTTTTGTGTCCATGATTTGGCCGTGGCATCTTTATCACATCATTTTTTTTGCTTTGTCTTTGCTTTTATGGATGAGGGGGAAACGGGGAGTTTTTGGAGAAATATGAATCTGCGATACTTTCAACACACCTGCATAACTATTTTACAAGGAGGGGGGGCGCGCCGGGGGGAGACATTGGCCACTTTATGTAGCGCTCGCGACTTATCTTCACCGAGCCATGTCTCTCATTATCCTGTGCAATTTCAACCACGTTGCTTTTACGATGCATGTGTAGGTATGTGTGTGTGTGTGAGAGCGCGTGAGTGCATGCTTGTTCCGGATCTATGCTGCTTTTTGTCGCAAGCAAGGCGGGATGTGGTGCGTTGGAGTGCTTTGCTGGTGAGGAGGAGAGGAGAGCCTAGACCGCGGTACACGACTTTGTATCATGATGCATGCAGCGGAGAGCGTGCATGGAAACGGCCCCCAAAAATACCTGCGGCATTTCCCGCTTTGCCACCTGCTTTCCCCCGTTTGTTGCGTCTTTTTGGTTTGTATCTCGACCAGAGCTTATCAGAGCTGTACAATGAGGGGAGATTTGCGATTGTCGAGCAGGGATTGGACGATTACATATTGTCATCCGGGGAACCGGAAAGTAGATGCCGCAACTAGTTACAATATGTAATTTGTACTCCGTAATTCGTAACTAGTAACTCGTACTGGTAGACTCTACCGTTCCTTTTGCTGCCCAGCCTGCCAGCCTGCCACAACACGCAGTTGTGAGACAACGCAGAGGTGCATGACCCGCCGTCGCTCACTAATAATAAATGATCCTGTAAGGCCTTTTTTTCATGCAACAAGTCGACAAAGCGGTAACCAGGGGAGAAGGAGGGATCGATGCAGAGCATGTCCACCTGCAATGCAAACACGGGGAAGAGAGCGCCGGGGACGACTAATAAATGATAACTTAAGCCACGTTGAAAAGAATGCCCCTCTGTTGGCCGCAGAATCTTGGCAACCGATGGGCGGCGCAAGCTGTGCGACGTGACAAGAGAACGCGTAACCTTCTTTTTTTCTTTTCCATCTCCCGCTGAACAAGGTCAGACTGTGTTCGCTTCGTATCCGCAGGTTCTTGGTTGTTGATTGGCGAGGCGGCAAAGTTGGGATGCTGCATCCCCCCGTCCCAGACAATGCCGGGCACATGTCTTGCCCATGCGCGGGCGCGCGCGAGACCTCGGCCCGTCCATCCCCTCGGGTCAGGGTTGTCGTACCTTGCCTTCATTCTCTCTTCTTTGTGGCGGGTTTTATTCTTTCTATTTCTTTGCTTTTCGGTGAAAAGGGCGAGACATTCAACTAATGATACAGGAATGACGCCGAGATGGCCGGCGAGAACGAGGGAACGGGCGCAGTAAAGTTCAAACTACCAGACTGTTGGGCACCAAAAAGGAAGGTTACACAAAGTGAGGCAGATGACTTCTCTTTGCCCATCGAGGTGACACCTGCGACTCAAAAGACCCAACCGTGCTGGTGTCAGCCTTGTCCCTGGTGATAGGTCACACGGCAACATGACAGAAAACAACTACAATGCAAGGTGCGCAACGAAATGTCTTTGAACTCAAATCTCCAAATCTCTGGTCAAGCCAACATCAGTAAGCTATGCACATGCACCCCGTGCCTGCATAATCCGCTTCATAAACTCGACAAAGAAAGCCACAATTGTGCACATGTCAACCGATCCAAAATGCTCCAAACATTTTGACCGGGAAAAACAAGCCAAATTTGTGTCGTACGCTCGAGGTTTCATAAGCCATTGCATAAAATCTGCAAAGCACAAATTCATGACCATCAACAAGCAAAACGCTCTGAGCATCCTCGCTTGTAAACAAGGCCAGAATTTGTGCCGTATCCTGGACTTGTCATCTTGCTGAGAATATTGTCAAAAAGGCCGACAAGCGGGTGGGTAGGACCATACGATTCTGCTTCACTCCGGCGCCGCCCGAGGCGGCTGGCGCGCGATTCTCCCCTTCCACGCTCCAAAGACGATATAAAAACTGGCGCAGATGTAGTAGGCGACAAATGCCAGCATGGGGTCAACATGGACGCAGACGACGGGGTGGTGCGCGACGCCCAGCGCCCGCGCGACGCTGGCTGCCCCCGCGGCAAAGAAGCGAGCCAGCGCCATGGTGCAGACCGGGATGCCGTGCCGAGCCAGAGCGGGCTCGCCAAGCCTCGGCTGCAGCAGCATGTCGTAGATGGGCGGGATGGTGGCCGGGGTCGCGCGTGCTGCGGCCATGGAGCGGGCAATGCAGTCGAGCGAGTCGTCGGCATCACGCGCTCTTGCCGATGATCGGGCGCTTTCGAAGCGCGGTCGCGAAAAGAAAAACGTGCCCAGCGCGGGGCGCCCATCGCGATCTGGTCTGAATGTCACAACGCAGTGCTGGACGAGCGTCGGGAGACCATAGGGAGCATACCGCAGCCGGCGCACACCCGAGGCGGCAGGGCATCGACGAATGGGGTAGTGGCTGCGGCAGCGGCTGTTCTTGGAAGGTCGATCACAGGCGCACTGATTTGTTGACGTCAGAAGCCCATCATCCGGGGGACTGTGTGGGAGTGGATAGATGACTTACACCAGGGTTGGGGGCGTGGTCGGGGACATCTTCTGCTTCCACGCAGTGCAGGAGGCGGGCGCCGAAGAAAGTGGTGCAGCCGTCACAGACCTGATGCTTGCACTGGATGCACAGGGCTACCGAGGCGTCGTTGCAGCGAAAGGTGCCACATCCGCACTCGTGGCAGGTCCAGAAGTAGCGGACTATGGCGCCTGGTGGCAGAGGCCTGTCCTCCGCCTGGCTCGCGTTTTCGGAAGCAGAAGCGGGAGTGGGTGGACTAAAGGGTAAGAGCTCATGAAAGGGGTTATCGGGAGAGTGAGGAGGCATATTGCGCAGACGAAGATATGAAGCGGGTAGAACAAAGCATGTAGTGGACGATGAGGACCAGAGGATGAAGAGAGGAACAAGAGGATTGCAGAGCTCTGGAAGGTTAAAGAGAGACTCAGAGGTGAACTGACGTTCAAGTGAACTGACGTTGAAGTGAAGAGAGCAGAGATAAGAGAGCGGTAGCGGCGACAAGAGGGAGGGAATAATACAGGTAGATATAGCAAGTCGGGATAGGTAGTCAAGGACAGGCTGAATAGGACTTCCCAAAAGAGCGAGGTGCATCAGCATGGCGCGGGGACAACGGTGGCTGCATCAATTCCGCTCAGGCTTCGCGGAATTGGTTGCCGAGCAAGGGCAGGGGGGGGTTGGGCCAGGTTACCAGGTGGCCGAGCCCTGTCTGTCTGTCTGTTCGTTTTTTTCAACTTGCATACGCACGAGGAAAGGTGACGACCAGGGTGGCGGTGAGAAGAGACGACAGGCACCAAGGTCGGGAGACGAGTTCTGATCTGTCGTTTTCGCTATACGGCCTTGACCCTGTGCTCCAATTACGAGAAACGGCCAGATAATAGACGATGTAATGGAGACATTGTTGGTCGTACAAGCCGGGCAGAGTAACTCTTCTCGCTGTGTAGTGTGAAGAAACGACGCCTTGTTTGAGGCGTCTTTTGACAAGTCACCGTCTGCGCTGTCTGTCTGGCTGGACTCGCCGAACGTGAAGGTAACACGAACAAGAGAGAGACAAGGATGATCAAGGCCGAGATTGGCTTGCGCTCTTGTCGCGGCGAGTCCGAGGAAGTACGGAGTGGCTGTGTCTGTCTCTCTCGCTGTTTCTATATTTCCTTGGCACATGATGGAATGGAGAGTCGATTGTGTGACCCACGAGGTAATGTTGGTCGCTGGCCATGGCGTGTTATAATGTCAGTTCCCGCCCATGGACTTGTAGATGCGTCAACAAAGTTGCCCGGCCCGCCCCGTCTACCTGCCGGCTGACTTTGTGAGACAAAGAAGCAAATCACAGTACCAAGCCATCAGCAGTTTTCATGAAGAACCCGTGACTGCGAGGACTCGGACGGATGCCCGACTGATATTGCTTCTGGGTCCTGACCCAATCGCTTGGCTCAAATTCTAGTCCAAAGTGGTCACTGGGCGCTCGATTCTGGTTCGTACAAGACCTAGGTTTCTTGCCATGGGTTGTTTGCGCATCGGTGTTTGGCGTTATGCGTTGTGGGGAGGGGCGTAGGGCTGGACAAAGAAAGAGGGGAGCGGGATCCCATCGTCGAGACTCTAAAGAAGAAGAAGGAAATCTGTGTTCAAAATGGAGCATGGCGTGAGGACCGAGGTTGACATCTGCATCGGTTTACTAACTATCGTAGGACGTATCAAGATGCAAGCCCGAGATCTGAAGCGGTCGGTGGCTGCATCTCACTGATTGGGAGCGGGGTCGAGTCGTCTCGTGGATAGTGTGTTGGAGCAGTAGTAACAAGTTCAAATTAAGAGTCGATGTCGATTATCCATATCAAGCCCAACTTGGTTCCTGCATTCCAGAGTAGTGGGCGAGCAGAAGCAGCAAGTGCAACAGAGCGACTAGGGTACTTGCCCCAACAGCAATGCAAACGCTGAAGCTGCATAAATCGTTTGCATGTGTACAAATATTTCATAGAATATGCGAGTTATACCCCACGCAACAGAGAATCAATTGTATGACCTAATTACACTATCTACAGCTGGAACTGTGCAGAGGAACAACTTCCACATGGCAGAACGGTCGTACAGGAATTCCAGTGCCACAGCATCAGCTGAGTAAGTCCCTATTTAAAGCTAATTCCATCTTCCCCCAAGACATATTTTCTAGGGTTTTGCAAGTGTTGTAACTATTATTATCGATCGGTTAAACAGAAGCCAGGGCATCGGCCCCCGCACTAAGGTACCTCATCTCGGCAATCCGGGTCGCTGACGTATTTCCGCTGCACTTATTAACTAGTCGTCAGTGCACAGCCGCCTCGATCCATCAAAACATCAAAACATCAAACCCCCTTGTAACATCATCAACACCGTATGGCAGGCACAGCGCATCGTGCCCAGTCGTCTTCATGACCTCTCATCGCCATAGACCCCTTTGACCTCGACTACATCTCGCTTTCGAACCTCTCGCTTCCAACTCGCCGCCGACGGCCCCGACACATGCACATGCCGCCGTCATGACTCCCCCCGCCAGCAACAGATTGTCGACTCGCCTGGCCATTCGCCTGATTCCAATATTCATCCTCTGCGTCTTTGTCGTCGCGACATACATATTTGTCGGCCACATATGTGGTGCGTGGCCTCTGGAGCCCATGGGACCGCAAAGCTATGTTTATGTACTGACCGGCGCGCTGCAGTGCAATACTACATCCAGGAAAAAGGTCGCGTCGCCTTCGGTGCAGGGATGATTGCCTTGTACTTTATCATCTTCTTCATCATGCTATCGGCGTACCTCCGAACATTTGTTACCGTCATCCGCGACCCAGGCCTAGTGCCGCTCCTCAGAGCCCAAACCGATGACACCAACGAGAAGCAACCACCACCGCCCCCGAGACGGCGACGGGGACGAAACTGCAAAGACGAACCTGATATCGAAGCACAGACGTGGGCACCGATGGACATGAGCTCCGACAGTCCCGGGCTGGAAGCCTTTTATAGCAAAGACGTATTTGCGTGCGAGCCCGACGGCCGTCCCAAGTGGTGCTCTGGCTGTTGTCAATGGAAGCCCGACCGCGCCCATCATTCGAGCGAGCTCGGACGCTGTGTGCGAAAAATGGACCACCTATGTCCTTGGGTAGGAGGCATGGTGTCGGAAACCTGTGAGTTGGGACACCGGACAAAGAGATGAGCAATGTGCCGTACCTACTGACGCCGGAGCCAAGCATTCAACTTTTTCTCCCAATTTACATTCTACTGCTCCCTGTACTGCTCACTCGTACTCGCCATAACGGGATATACGGTCAGTCAGCAGTCGACCGAGCGTCCGTCTCCTGATGGCTGGGTCGTCGCAGGCCTGGTGCTCTCGGCCTTTTTTGTGCTCTTCAGCGGCGGCATGGCATTGACCTCGCTGCGGTACATCCTCACCAACATGACCAATATTGACATGTTTTCCCGCTCCCGCAATTCGTACCTCGCCGTTCGCGTGCCGCTTGACGCGCCCACCTCTAGGTACTATCCCACCGTCTTGTACCCGCTGGAGCCGCTGCCGCCGCGGACCAGCCTTGTCGCCGCACCACCGCCGACGCCGCCTGCGGGCGCGGACATTGGCGATCCTGGTGCCACCCCTGTCGTCGGGCGGCCCGTGGCTGGTGGCGGCCAGCCGGCCGTCGCCAGCCGCGACGTGCGGGCGCGGCGCAAATTTGCCATTTTGTGCGTTGAGGCGCGCGAGAATCCGTGGGATCTGGGTTTCCGCCGCAACTGGGTGTCCGTCATGGGCAGCACCCCGTGGGAGTGGCTGCTTCCCATCAGGCACTCCCCTTGCTGCGACCACGACAGCATGGTGAGTGACTACCCTACCGGCAACACATTGTACGAGATCAAGAGACGATATCATTTTGATGAATGTGATATTCTTGATCCCTCGCGCGAAAATCAACCTGTTTCTGTGTAGGGGTACGGATAATCAAATCGGAGATCAGGTCTTGGTATAGAGCATAGAGGGGCGCATTTTGGGTATATTAACGGCCATGTTTTTTCTTCTTTTGGGTTGTGTATTTGGAGCAAGTGATTCTATGGTTTGGGTAAGCAATCTAAATTACATCTATAATATCCATCAAGTATTCCGTCCTTCGCCAAGCAAGTTTGGGTAAGCAATCTAAAACCAATCTATAATATCTATGAATTATTCCGTCGTTCACCAAGCAAGTAGGTTCATCTCCCTCGTCCCATGCCATCCTCCCGTTCAGCATTCGTACCAATCTGTCCCTCCATCTCCTCGCACCGAGCCGTCATCAGAACTCGACTCGTCCGCATCCGGCACACACGGCACCAGCTCCTCGCCCGTCTCCAGAAAGCGATAGACGGAATCATAGTCCAGCCAATCGCCCTCCTCGCGGTCCTCCTCCTCCCGCTTCAGTCCCAGATTGACCTTTGCGCCAAAATCCACCACCCACGGCTCCCCATGCGGATCGATGATGACGCTCTCGCTCTCGGCCGCGCCCCAGTAGATGCCGAGCCGGTGCAGCTCCGCCAGCGTGCCGGCGACCTTGCCGTCCCACGCGGCGCGCACCTCGACAGGGAGCTCCGCCACATCATACGACCCGAGACTGGCGCCGGGCACCCAATCGCGGAGAAAGCCCACGACATGGCCCTCATCCGGGTGGCGGAGGACG